AAAATAAGTTAGAATGGCCATGTTTCAAAAATTCTGTATGTACACTCAATCACTGGAACAGAAATTGCAGTCGGGTATATAATAACACAGCCGTGTTCTCTATTTCCCCTGTAGATCAATGCTAATATGAGGAAGGCCACAGAAGATGGATGTTGCCAACAGAAAACCTTGAAATTCCAGGTTAGGACTTGGGTGGCTTCATGGATAAAAGTATGTGTGTGTGTGTGTGTGTGTGTGTGTGTGCAATGTCTGTGTAATTTAAATACAAAAGACCAAACTCCTTCCTTAATACCTGAGAATGCTCTACTTCAAAGTAGTAACTTCTACATTTAAATTCAAGTTATGGAAAACAAAACCTGATCCAACATCCTGCCTTACATAAGTATCCAGGCTTTAGCTCACACACCTAAGGGACCCCAGATGGATTACTCAGTGGGCTTAGACAACCACAGGACAATATACTTTCACATACTCATAGATACACAAAAGAAATACATACAGACTCTCTGTACGTTACTGAACAATCACTCTGCCAGAAGGTAATTTTTTCAGAAGGAAGATGGTGTCAGGAAAGACAGAATGTTTCTTTCTGACATGTTTTACTAGAAACTGGCTACTCAAGCACCACTAGATTTTGAGGGCATGTTGGCTGTTTCACTAGTAGGGTTTATGATCCCAACGAAACAGATGTTTAAACTGGACAAAAAGAAGCAAATACAGGAACTCCAGCACCAAAAATAGAATGCTCTACCATTTGAGCTAACTTAAACAGATATTTACTGTAACAGGTATCTATCTATTAGATAGACCAATGGTACAGAGAATAAAACAGCCAGACAAGGCATTATACTTGCACTTTGCCAAGAGCAGTTATTTTTGAGTACTTAACTCTGTTAAGGTCAAATTCACACACACAAACTTCTACCCCAACAGGTTTGGATCTAATCACAGTTCACATGGGAGAGTTGCACAGGACTATAGGCCACCAAAGCAATGCTAGTTTCCCCAGGAATTTGGCACTCAAAAAAACTCAGCTGTGAGACGTGTACCTCCACCATTTCCACCTAAAAATCTCCTGTAGCTAATAGCAGTGAAAATCTTATTTTCTCTGTAAGCCTGCTATTTGAGACCAACATAACTCACTTAGCAATGCATTGCACACTATTCCTGATTATGTGGAATACCAAGTAATTGAAGAGAAATAATACGCATCAGTGACTAGGATTTTTACCAGGATTCATCCCTTCCTTTTTCCTACAGATTGACATGTATTCATCTTCAAGGCTGAGGACTACAAGCCATACAGTTAACTCAAAAGTATGTTGTTGCATTGGTAAATCCTTCCATACAAAAGGAAATATATATATACATATATATATATATATAGCATATATATATGCTTTCACTACCCCTTCAGTACTTCACAGCTTCTTCAGTAATTTGAAGCAACGTGTTTGTGTTGCTAATGGTACATTGCATGAACTGGGAGTATTTTTTAGAAGATGTATAGCATGGGTCATTCACAGAAAGTGTTCACTTTCAAATTGTTCAGTAAAGCAGACTCACTTCCCAGAAAAGACGCTGCCCCATCAAAACTTCGTTCCACATTTCAGCCTTGATCTGAATCCAAACTATACAACTAGCCTTTATCTTGACAACAAGCCAAACCTTTCTTGAGATACTACTGCACAAACCCACACTGAGGTTTGTGACTCATGCCCATTATTAGTTTAGTCAGATTATAGACAGTTTTGATGCCTGGTTCTCAGCAAAATGCCGCAATATTTAGGACATGTATGGGGATGATGAAGGAGGGGGTTGTTAACTGTATTTCTATTGATGACAGACCTTTACAGACGTACCTGCAGAGCGACCGTACCAGCAGAAATACTGTAAGAACCACGGGTCTTCAGATCATGATTAAACTCTCATGAAATCCCATCCAGTGAGCTACAACTGCCCTTTCACCTTGCTCTTCCTCCTTCCTTCTGAGCCCATCTGGCTAATAGGTCAGAAGTGGGGACACCTGTGCACAAAGCCGTTGAAGCCGGGAGATTATTTGCTAACTCTGGAGGTTCAGTTCCCATCCGAAGCACCTGCTGTTGGCCCTGACTCACGTGGGGCCTGAATGCACTACCGGTGGCCCCTGATTCACCTTTTCGCTGTTTGTTCTCCCAGCGTCATCGGAGGGGTATGCAAGGAGCTCGTCTTGTCTGCCTCCCACACGGGGCTTTCCGGGAGCTGTCGCTCCAAGCCTTCTCCGCTTGGATGCTGCAGAGAGCAAAGCTCCTACTGCGGCCTCAGAGTGGCATCTAGTGCTCGGCTGCCGCACTGCCCCTCACCGGCACCGCGCCGCCGTTCTCGCGGGGCACTTCACCTGCTTTCCAAACACCAGGGTCAAGGACTTGGTCTTGGGCAACACGCACAGTAATTGAGCTACCTCAAGGAAATGAGTGCGCTCCTCTCACAAACGGCAGGTCTAATTGATTCCACGGGAAGCAATCAGTAGCACAGTAAAATAAAAAAGGAATTAAACGTATCCTTTTGCTTACCCAAATTGTGCTGTATGAAGAGGATAATTTATACACAGCCCAAACTAGAGTATGGCAAGTTCTATTTACCTACATTCCCCCTCCACTGCACACTTGTTACAGCGGTTTTACTAATATGCAGCTGTGGAAATCTACTTGAAATTACTAAACCTTCCTTCAAAGGCCGTGCCTGTTCTCGGGTACTGTAATGTTTGTTCACTGCTGCTCATAACAAATTTGTCTCCTAACCCTAATTCTTCAAACTCATTTTTCCTCTTGCTGTGTGTGCCAGTCAAATCTAAAATGCAGAACTCTCCAACAGCAGGACAGCAAAAGAAGACAAGGAACCGAATGTACTTCCAGGGAGTATTTTCCATATATCAGAAATAACAGCCATTAGAATCAAAAAAACCCACAAATTACCTGTAGTTCTTGAGGGAACTCCTGAAGACAGCATCCTTTTTTCTTTTTATCATTATTATTATTGTTTTTACTACATGACCAACTCAAGTATAATTTTATGGTATATAATTTAATCAGAATGCTCTGCAGGCAGGTACATTATCCCAGCTATGTTTCCTTTTTTCAGTCTGCCTGAGATAAAGTAGTTGGATATGTTAAAGAAAAGCTACATAACTGTATAAGAAGTGTGTAGCTTTTTCATATGCTTTTCACTAGCAAATCTCCAAGTGTTTTAATAAAAAAGGTCACATGTTGCTTTCCTCACTTTGTCCATCTGTGAAATGAGGATAATACCTGAAGACAGAGGGAGGTGAGGATCAGAACCCATGTCTTGAGCTCTTTCCAGTACTGAAATAGTTAGATTTTTTTTCCCATTACATCTGAACAAAAGAAACATATCTGAACAAAAGAAATGAGAGAGAGCAGTAAGACAGAGTGTTTAAATCGTGTTCTGATCCTCTCCATATTTTAGTTCTGCTAACTGCAAAAGTCAGGCATTTATTATGTAAATTCAGAGACGTGTTCAAATATAGCTAGTTACGTAGCATAATTTTCCAGTTCTTAAAATTCCTCTAAATTAGGAAAAGCCTTCACACTTGAATTCTGTCTGAATTAGCTGCTACAAAAAATAGAAGACAAAAATTACTTTCACATATGAATGCAACAGAAGAACAGACCCTGTCAATACTTTTTTGATAATACGCATGACAAATTAACAAGCTTCCAATAAATTAAATTTCAAACAGTTTGGCCTTGGCTTGGCAAACTGTCCAATATCTACATTGGCACACAGCTGAAAAGTATTCTAGGGTCAGAAAGTTCTTGGCAGCAGGGCCTGCATTCACAGGCAAAATGCAAGAAATCACAACAGTATTAATGCCACAAATGTCAGGTTCTTCAGAACAACACCACATCCATTGGTAGCAGAGTGTTGCTCAAGGCTAGAAATAAGTATTGAGAAAGCCCTTTATCACACTTGCAAAAAAAAATAAAAAGTGTGAATTGTGAGAGCCACACACAATGACTGAGATCCAGCCTAAAAAACTCTAACCACACCTACACAAGGTTCAGAAGAGCTACTAGATCTGCACCCAGGACAGCATGTCCAAATATTTTGTAGTCTGAAAGCTCCTCCTAGCTGAGAGACCATCTGACATTGTCAGCTGGGAAGTTATTTGTTATAATACTACCAACTTTAGAGTTACTTTTTCCACTGGCTTAAGTACATCACCATCCTATATAAGAGCATCAAGGCCTTTTGCAGAACAAAAGCCTCCCCAGGGCTCCTCAGGATCATATTCTTACTGCTCCTTTAGAGCTGGCCAAATCAAAGGAGCAGCTCCAGACATCCCATCCTGTTACAGACTAGCTTTGCTCAATGTGTTGTAACCAGAAACAGAAAAAAACCTTTGTTCACCAATTATTTTGGTTTTTCACATCCTCAAAAATTCCTGTAAGTAGCACATTTATACCTTTGGGATGAGTCAGTGAACACAAATTCCTGATTCCTTTTTCAGGCTCTGCCACAGACTCGTACTGAGACTTTTGGAAATACATGTCATGTGCTTCAGCCTACTGTATATAAAATTATAAGACGCAAATGCAAAGCACAATGAGCTCCCTGACAGAAGGATGACAGACAAATTATTCATTTACTTATTCTTCACGTACTTCGCTGTTTATTTTTAGATAAATTGCTCATTTCACTGTCACACACACACAAAAAAGTCTTCATACCTCTGAACATTAGAAAGCTAAATAAGTCACAATACAGGAATGAAACAGGTTCATTTGTTACACACAACCACAGAATTGTGTCTTATTTGACTACAAGACCTTTGTAACCATGATAACATGTACATGTAACAGTAAATAAGAGGAGCCAAAGAGTGACAAAAATCCCAAGGAAATATTTACTCACGTAGAACTCTCCTGTTACCAAGGAAGAGTAAAAACAAATAGGCTCTAATAAACCTAATTGTAACCTCGAGATGCAGATTAATTTACCTTCAACGCTCTGAAATTGCAACATGAGTTTTCCCAGGAGCAACCGAAAGAAACTCCTTTTGGAATGCCAACTCAAGCACGTTGGTAATCAACCGCGCAGGACATCTTGGAATGCGGCAACGGCGCTTCCAGAGGAACGCCTGACGTTACAAAGCTCTCCCAGCAGAGGGCACGCGGCCCCCATCCCGCTCGCTGCCCTGGGAAGCAGCACCCCTCCGAACCCCTGGGAAATTGGAGTTGGAAAGCTGGACTCTCCTTTGGCTGCAGCAGAAAATCTGGGAGCGGTGGGCGCTTTCAAAGGGCTGTGCATAAGTTGTTTAAATTTCTGTGGAGTTCTGAGCTTGAACACTCATTTCTATTAAAAAAAAAAAGGAAAAAAAAAAGGACAGTGCTCAAAATACCCTTTTTCTAAATTGGGGCTCTGTAGAGGACTGAAGATAATTCACAAGTAAAATGCAGTCTGATTTAGTAAAAATAAAAGCAGTACACAGAAATTAAAGATATGCACTGATATTCTAGGCTTAGCAACAGGAAAGTGTTTTGAATAGTCTCAAGGACACATATGGACGTGTGATAGGAAAATGGGAAAAAACCAATGGGAAATAAAGCCAGAATATCAGGAAACACATCCCAGTAATGTGCTCCTCTCTTCAGATTAAGCCCCATCACTATAGCCTTTCAAAGCTAGAGTATAGAGAAATACCCATTGTAGGGAACATACCTGCATTAAGCAGGGGGCAAAACCAGGTGGAAAGGGTACTTTTCTGTTCTCTCATTTCAAGTCAAATGTAAAGAGAAGCACGTGTAACAGTTAAAATTGCTCACATACAAATATCATCCACCCACAGATTAAAATGTCACAGAACAAACTCATTTTGGGTGGCACCCCTGCCCATGTGTGGTGGGGAGTTGGACCTAGATGATCTTTAAGGTCCCTTTGAACCCAAACCATTCTAGGATTACAAGTACATTATACCACAAGGAGTTAATAATAGGCTGGAGAAGGAACAATTTTCCTCTGGCTTGATTCAACACACTTGCATTATTCATCACATTTGTGAAGGAATATGAATCCCATCAAATAATTAGATGGTGTGTTAACCTTCCTGGTTTGCAGCAGCCTATGACTGACAAGTAGAAGGGTTCTCCAAGAACAATTTCCTGTGCTGTCGCTCCTTTCTGCCTGGACTCTCAATGAAGGGTGCATTTTGTGTGTTTGTATAGGGAATCCCTGTGGAGTTTTTGTTGAGCTTTAGGTCAAAACCCTCTGAATTTAACTTTAAATTGGGGACCTATTAAATGCCATATTTGTTCCGGTATCTATTACCAGTACTACAATACTCGTCCTCTTCCAGTACTGTAATTTAAAAAAAAGCCACCCTCTTACATCAGTTTCAATTAGAGTAAGGTGTGAAGGTGAAATATCAAATTGCAGCAAAGTACACTAAAAGAAGTCACTACTTACTAGTGTACTCAAAGTACACTACTAAGAAGTCTAACTAGTTATAAGAGAATTTCAATGGCATTTTAACTTACTTGGATTTTCTCAGACCTTCTGCTTCGAAGCCTAGTGTGGTTTTCTCCTCCCTTAATTCCCCCCAGCACAGACTACCCTGATCATCAGCCAGGCTGATGGTCTAGTTCAAAATATTTGTAGTAGAAAAAAAAAAAAAAAAAAAAACAACAAGGTCCTGTCTGTTGTTGTTCTGAAATTTGTGATATAAAAATCATATGATTTGTAAGAATTTACAAATTGTCTGAACTGACAGCATCTGAGAACTCTCAAAATTTCTTATGGGCTTCAAGGTTTCCAAGCAAGTCAAGGAAACTACAAAGCAGACTGAGGCTAAATGAATCCTTAAATTCTGCTGACAAATAGGATGCAATGAACCACCAGTGGAAAAAGCTGGTAGAACCTCATAACATAAATTAGTTCAGGAAGTCCTGTTCTAATTCAGTCAAGAAGTGATGAGGGAATGTAGGTCAAACAAGGCAACTGCAATTGTTTGTCATAGCTTTAAAGATTGTTAAATTCTAGGGGCCTTACATGTGCTACTTCGTTTTCTTCAAAACTTCCCCTTCCACTTCACTGTGATAAGCCCATCCCAGAATGCAGCTGCATTTTCAGCACGTTCTTTATACAGTGGCTCATACAAGTTGAAACCCATCCTAGAAATAGCAGGCTTGCTAGGGGATTTTCAAACTGTTTACCAAACTAAGGTAAAAACACTGATCAAAGGATAGATAATGCAGCATAGCTGATTACTTTCAGTTACTGTGTGGATAAGTGCAGCTAACAAGAGTCAAAAGCAGAAGAAATGAAAGGCAGTGAATACTTCTACAATGAAGTATATTCAGTGTCAGCGTATATATACAGTGTTAATAGAGGAATGTATGTACATTTAGAGAAATAAATAATGGAAACAAACTCTGTTCTTAATGACACTGGAGTGAGTGTGCAATGATGCTCCCTACCCAACTGGCATGACTCTGGATTTTTTTGGTGCTGCCAAAGGCAGAATCAGGCTCATTTACTTGGTATTTAGCAACACATGACTGAGGAGCGTGAGCCAGAGAAAAACTATGCCTTGCTGCTTTGGGATTTTTCTGAAGAAGCAGTTGGGATAACTGAGTTCCTTCTCCAAAGCTGCCCCGGGAAGCACTAACTGTGTGTCAAAACTAAGTAAACCGGCAATAGCTACGACCCCGTCCCCCTGCTGCCCCTTCTCCAGATGGTGCTCGGTCACAGGTTGGACTCCATGATCCCAGAGGTCTTTTCCAGCCTAACTGATCCTGGGATTCTTGAAGAGCCTGAGGCTGCCCTAACACGCAGCAATCCTCCAGATCGCCAGAATGAAGGATCATACAGCAGCTTGTCAAGCCTGGGTGTAGCGGGGCGGCTTTTTAATGGAAATGGAAACAGCCTGCTCGCAGCTTCCAAGCTCCGCGGGCGGCAGCTCGGGGAGCATCCCTGACAGGGCTTCGGCTTGGGAGAAGCGCCCCGAGAGGCACTGCAGCTCGGCCGAAACATTTCGAAGTGTTCTACTTTCATCAGGGAACTTGTCCCTTGCACTTTGCAGGGAGGCCAGTCCCAGCGAGCCTTTCCCGGGGCCGCCCCGTCCCCGCCTGCCCGGCTCCTGCCCGCAGTCAAGATGGCGGCGCGGGGACCGCGTTGGCGCGCAGCCGTGGCTGGCGGCGGGCGCGGCCACGTGACGCGTTCAAGCGCGCCGCGCGAGCCCCGCGCGCAGGGGAGGGCAGGGAGCGCGCGGGCCATCAGGTGACCCCCCCCCCCCGGCGGCGGCGCGCGCCCGTCACCGCCCGGGACACGGGGACCGGGACACGGACACGGCCGGGGAGCCCGGGAACCCGGGAGGGAGTGGGGCTTAACTGCGGGGTCGGCAGCGCGGGGGGCGGCCCAGGCGGCCGGGCAGGGTGACGCGCAGCCTCCGCGGTGCGGGGATCGACCCGCGGGGCGCGGCGGTGGGGGGGGGCTCGTCCGCGCACCGCGAGTATCGGGCACGCCGCGGCCTCGCTGTCCAGCCCTGCCGAGGCAATCCTCGCCCGGCCCCGGGGCTGCTCAGCCGGTGTGGCCGCTCCAGGGGCAGCAGCCGCTCGTCGCACCCCGCGTGGGGCTCTTGGGGCTCCGGCCGTGGGGACCCGCCACAGCACGGACACCCAGCAGCGCTCTCTGGGCTGTCTCCTTAAAGCCTTGAGAAACAGCTCCTGCTTCGTTTGACACGCTGATGAGGCCACCAGTGCCTTTGGATTATTCGAGTGATATGCAGGGACCGCTGCTGGCCTTGATACAAAAACTGTAGATGTTGAACATCTCGACATGTCAGTGAACTTGAAGGCTGACAAGCACACTAATCTCGCAACCCAGTTAGCCTTCCACAGGATACATTTTATTAAAAAAAAAAGTAAAGCTGTACCATATGCATTAGAGGAAACGGTCACAAGTGACATAAAGATACCAGAATACAGAGTGATTCTGTTGTTCTCCCGCTCCAGCTAATTCAGCTTTCCTTTCCCATAAAGGGCTTCTTCATTCATGGCTTGGGCCAGGCACTCATTGGATGGACCATCAACTCTCCTGCAGGCACTGAAGTGACTTCACAAACACTGGCTGTGAGCGAAGGTCCTCGCACAGGTGGCACGTCTTCTCAGGTAAGGGCTCCATGTCAGCAGAGCACCCCAGTGCAGCTGTCCAGTGTAGATCTGGAGGGAGGGGAAGAGTCTGGCCACTGGCATTAACGTTACTGTAATTTACTGGGACTAAGTTCCAACTTAGTCCTTATTTTCATTTCAGAGCATTAAGCAGTTAATTGTGTTAACAAGCACAGTGACCTCAGCCTGCTTTCCCATAGTAACCACACTGTGAAAGTCCTTTCAGAGACTTCATTAGCAAGACAAACAAAAAATGGAAGCAGTGAAATTATGTCTGTAAGGTGTTACTTAGCCTGGAAAATTTTCTTTTAGGCCAGCAAAGTTTGAGGAGGTAAATAGTTCAGTGGACTATAGCCATGGCTGGTTCTCTGTCCTGCCAATCTGGCTTCTGAGAAATTTCCTCTGAGGCTGTATGTCACAGGCTGCACCGAGAGGGCCTTATATCCCAGAGAAATGCACTTCTCCAAGCACAGACACGCTGAGCAGCATAAGACATGCTTTGTGCTTTCTCAGAACCAATTTTCAGAGAGCATAGTGAACCATCCCTGTCCCATTACTTGGGCTACATGAACCTTAGCAAGGTGTTTTAATCAATCCCTCAGTCAGATCAGATTTACCTAAACTTTCTCCAACCTGCTCTGAGAAATATCCAAGGCATATAACACCCATCTCCTTCCACTTGCAGAAACCTCTAGTCACTGGTAGGCAAATTAATGATCTCATAAAAGTTGATATACATCCAAATGGCAGTTCCTCTTAGCTCAAAAACATTTTCCTAAATTGCTCTCCTCAAGTCTGTCTTGTTAATATAAAGTCCAAGGCACAATCCCATCCCATCACATTGACTATTTGAGAATCATTACTGAAGCTTGACTTGAAAGAGCTGTCCAAAATGATCTACCTGTATGCAAACATTCCAGATTTTCACCCTTTTTGAGGAAAGTAGATTTGTATGAATTGTAAGCCAACTTTTCTTGAATATAGCATAAGTAGTTATTTTATATAGATAGATAGCAGAAAGATAATGGTACTTTTAGAGAGATATTATTACTACATCTGTTTTACCAAAAAAAACCCCCTACATTTGACAGTAACATGTTAGGAAGGAGAATGCAAAGGTGATGGGGATTGCTAGGTTCTCGAGATTTGATAGTAGCTTGGGAAACTCTGTTCAGTTGCTGGTCAAAGTATCTAGCACAGAAAATGAATAACTTTTGCATTCACATTTTGAGAACTGATACCACTTTTCTCTACCTGAGATGAGGAAATACATATGCCACGCAGTGTTACGTGGATCAAGTAAGCAGTCCTGATATTTCAAACCAAGCCTATCTTAATGAGATGACATACAGTGCTCCACTGCTCATTCTTTAATAGTAAACCCCAGTGTTTAAAGACTGCCAGAAAAATAACAGGGATTTCCAAGACCTGAAGGTCTCTTATTCTGACAGTGCAAAACTGTGAGGCTGTAGCTGTGAACAGAGCAATAGAAGTATCATTTCTTTATTGTACACTTTTAAAAATAGATTCTGTGCAACATGTTACACAGAGCCCACATTATAACAACCAGAATTGCAGAAGGACTTTCATAGATACATTTGAATCAGCTGACAACTACTGTAGTGATCTTAAAATCCACATTGCAATTACATCTGGAAGTTTAAAACTGTGGTAACATCTTTTCAAGAGAATTGAGCTCTCGGGAGACTGATTTCTCCTGCCTTTGGTTTTTAGATCAATTTGTGTATTATAAATCGCTCCCACACAAACTGGGCACATAGGATAAGCTCTTCTAGTGAATCTATTGCAGGTCACCACTAGAAAAAGTGTGGCATTTGAAGGTATAATGCATAAAGTGTTTCGGTGTCCTGAATTATGTAATTCTAAACTTGTCTGAGTGCGTGGGGTGGTTTTGTTTATATCCTGCTAGCTCTGAAAGTCTCATCTCAGGAAATGCCAAACCTTTTTTGATTCCCATGGAAATGTGGGAGTTGTCTGTCAGCAGCCACGTGACTGCTCCACGAGTTCTGTGTCAAACAGACCTGGTCATGTCCTAGTGTGGTTGAAATGAGGGAGCTGCACTGCTGGGAGCATGTTGACCTTTGGAAGTTCTCTGGCCAATGACCACATCAGTTTCTCTGTATGCAGGGCCGGTTCTTCCTTAGAAGAACTCAGTGCTTGTACCAGGAGTTTGTCCACCCAACAGCTTTGTAGACCCCAGTGGGAAGGAATGGTTAAGGAACAGCTTTTCTCCACCCAATTCAGTCCAGGCTCAGTACTGATAGCTGAAAGGAGGGCTGTGGGCAGCCCCTTTCTGCCATGGCTTCTGTAGGAGCTCTGTGATTCTTAGAGCTCCCCTGAGTTTTGGGTTATCAAGTGCCCCTTGTTGTAGCTGCATCAACTGTAGAATGGCTCATTTACCAAGCACAACAACGGGCTCCTGTTTGGGCAGGATTCCACTGGCAGTCTGTGCCTGACCTGGAGACCTTTGATATTTTGGCTGGCAGACTAGTCATCTGTGCCCTGCTTGGTATTTCCCTGTAAAATATGCTCTAGGTTGTCCTTTCTTTAGGAGACATTACTCTTCCTCCCACTCGTTCCTGAGTCAAGTCCAAGCATTGCTGCAAATGCTTTTAGCTGGAAGGTCCACCCCTTTCTGTACTGAGAGTGCAAATCCACTACCCATTGCTTCCTCACTGGACAACACAGTGTTCCAGCTCAGAAGGTGTCCCTGAGCCCCTGCAGCTGGACACATCTGCATTTCCAGCTTTGCTTCCCAGAGGTGACAGTTTAAACGTACAGTACAGCTGCATACCTCCAGCATCAACACAGTCAGAAGAGGCCCAAGATGTTGGGCTGCTTTGGGCTGGTATTTCCAGTGGATCCTCATACGGCTACTTTTTATGGATGTTTTTGCCTGCTGTTACTCAGAGACAACAAGACGTTGGAGGCGTTTGTGAATTGTTCTGATCAGAAGAGCACACTCGCCTATACCTGCATTTTGATCTTGATATTTTGATCTACTTCTTGCCTTTAAAATTACATGGAGTTTTCTTTTTCCTCCTCTTTTTTAGAGAAAAAGGTTTAGAGAGACATGGAGCTTGAAAGAATCATTCGAGACACACTGACACGCTTCATCCAGTCCCACATCCCTGCAGCAGATCTCAGGTATGTTGAGATAGGCAGATCCAATAGCATTGTTCTAGCTTGAACTCTGCATTAATTGTCCCTCTGCCCATTATATTGAACTCTGTAGCTTTCCCGTACTTTTTGTTGCTTTTCTTTAAGCCAGATCCAGGATGGAGGTAATTTGCACAGGCTCTGAGAGGAATGCTTGAACAGCTATAGTTTAGCATTGCAATCTAGCAGTGTCATTTCTTTGATGACCAAGATGATTAATTTCCTGTCCAGTAATACCCATTAGAATATGGGATTTCCTTCATTCCACAGTGCTCCCAAAGGGCTTTCTGAGCAGGATAATGCTATGTCAGGGCTCTCCTATTTTGAACTCTGCCTACATGCAGAGATACAGCTGCCTTGAGGCTGGAACATAGCAGCTGGTTTTGCAGCTGGTGCCAGTGGTGACACAAGTGTGGAGAGCAGCAAGCAGAGAACACTGCATCCCACAGAGAGTGTAGCTTGACAGCATATGATGACCTCACCTGAAACGCCAGTCAGCATAGTCAGTCAGTCAAGGGTTTGAGCACTTGGAATATTTTGGTTAGCTCAGCTGAAGCACCTGCAGGAGCCTCTGGGCACACTGGGTCTTTCATTCAGTGCTGCCCAGGAGGCAGAACTGCATGCAGTATTTTATCTGTTAATGCTTCCCACTCAACCAGTGGCCACCTGCTACCTGGCTTTACTGGTGGTATATGCCCATAAGATACACTCCACATAGGTCCTTCTGCTGCCATATTAAACAGACAGGAGGTTAGGGGGAATGGGGATGTTGAGAGAAGAAAAACTGGTCCTGTTGACACTGCTGCCACATCTTGTCTTCTCTCTGTCTCCAGTGGGATGGATGATGTTTTCTTCTCTTATATCACGGGTGTCCTGGAGGAGCTGGGCTCACCAGAGTCCTCTGAGGAGAATTTTGACATGGACACCTTTGTGGAAATGATGGAGGCATATATCCCTGGATTTGCAGAAATCCACAGGTATGTAACTGTTGCTGCTTTTTATGTGCATGTCATGCACTGAGGGCCTGGACCCAGGCCCCTCAGTACCATAAATTATTTTGTTATACCCAGTCGAAGATGTATTAGTACCAAACCTGTGCAATTAAGTCAGTCTTTGCCTGAATACACAGATGCTAACCCCAGTATAGTTTGCAAGTAGGTCCTTGGCCATCTGAAATACCAGTTGATTTTATTGGGCCTCCCATCGAGCCTTGTCTTTCTATAAAAAGGTTGCCAAGGAGGATTGGCTAGTGCTTTTGTTTCTCACACTAATAATACAGCTTCTGTCTCTTGCAGTGGGGATGTTTGCGAAATGATGTTCTCCCTCTCAGAAAGGCTTGGTGAAGCTCGCAACAAAGGTGAGTTACACAAACTATTTCAGCACAAGAAGGTATATTCTGTACATGTTTTCAGTCTTCATATTTGGAGTTGAGCAATGTCACAGGATAAAATACAATCTTGTTTGCCACAGTTAAGATCTCATAAGGTAGCCTGAATTGATTGACAGGGGGTTTTTTCAATGTTCAGTGAGGTTTTTGATGTCAACACATGGGAGGTTGGAGTCATACGGAATACTGTCCAAGACATACTGGAGTGAAAAACACACGATCAGTTCTCCAAATACCTCTGTTGAGATCAAATCCAGAGTAACAAGGAAGAAATAGCAGACACAGGGCTGCTTGTTGAAATTATGCTGTAGGTTAATTCTGAAAGTGAGGATTTTTGCCTGCCTCTGATACCCATCTGCCTAAGTGGCACTACCACTGAGCAGCCTTTATCAGGTGCATCATCAGAAAAAGTATCCAGCTGAATACATGTATCACATCTAGACTTAGCATCCTCAAAGCTCACTTCCCATTCATCCATGGACCCTGGCACAGATGCAATATGAATGATGTGCTCTGTTCTGCACAAGACTACGCTATGCCAATGGCCCTTTTTAACCTCAGCATTCACAGATCAGCTGGACTGCTCTATCAGGTGCTTCCCACTAAAGAACAGACAGGTTGAAGTGCCTGGATATTAAGCCTTCCAGGGCGTACAAGTCTGGGTTTTGCTTGTCTAGTAACATCTTTGCTGTCTTGCCAGAAGGGTACACAGTGTAGAACAGACAGTCCTGTCTTTTATCTTACTTGCTGCTTTCTTGAACTTGGCAAAATCTACTGTTCTGCTCTGGTATCCTGCATCCTACCCTTTGAGGATCCTGATGTAGCCAGAGCATGGAAGGAAAGCACCATTCCAGTCTTAGATAGGACAGAGAAAACGTGAAATGATTCTTCTTGCAGTGACAAAAAAACAGCCTGTAAAAAAGAGATGCATCAGAGTAACCTGATCACAGGATCTGCTGGCTTGCATGCAGTCTGGAGACTACCACAGTGTATTCCCAAATTTAAAATCAAAACCACACCTTATTTCAAAGATAGAGCAAAAAGCAGGGAATTCTTAAAAAATGTAAGAAAAATACCTTAAGTATCCACAACGAAAGCACTAGAGAACCAAGAATGGAAAGGTAGAATTGAATTTGCAAGCAGCCCATGCCCTCTACAGCCTGGAAATGCAGAAGTCGGGCACGCCAGCATGTGCTAGCACTGCCTTCCTGCAGGTCAGTGTGAGCAGAGCTGCAACTGTCCTCGCTGAGGGCAGAAGGAACAGTAGTGCTTCCAAGTCTTGTCACGTAAGAGATTTGCTTTGGCACATGATGCACTAGCAATCTAATGCCAACAGAAAGCACAAAGCTCTAACCTTAGTGGGACTGTTCCTCAGGAGATATCAATGTGTCTTTAAGAAAAACCTGGCCAAAAGGCTGTGGAAAGCAGGAGTGAAGCACCCTCTGAAGACCTCACCAAGGGCCAGGAGCCTGGAGCTGGAGCCTGCAACGGGGAAAGGCTGTGCACTGTAACAGACGGAGCCAGGGCCCAGGTATGAGTACCCTGCAGAGGAGCAGGAACACTGGGGACAGTCACAGAGCACTAGGCTACCAGCACCACCTGAGGGCATTTTCCAGCTCTGCAAGGAACCACAGCATAGGCGGTGACCAGGCATCACCGTGTCTGTGATCTCCTGATTGTATGGCCTGAACAAGACTGTGTCAGAAAATTATGTGCTGACAGAAGACTATGAGCCAATGCTCTGGCTCATCCTTTCCAGCAGCTGGAAAGGATGAGCCAGAGCAGTGGCACTGAGAGCCTGTCCCAGTGCCCTCAGAGATCCCACAGCACTACAGCACCTGGTGTATATCTCCCACCTTCCTCCCCTATGCTCTGTTTGCTCTTTCTCCAGTTCTGATCTATTCCTGCTCTGCAGCATTCTGTATCCACAACTTTCTAGAAAATGCTGCTATGGTGATTCCTTTTGCTGTAGCCTCAGGTCAGTGTTTAGCAGCTCCTTCCTTTTCTGATCAAAGCACACACAACTTCACAAGGTGTGCACGACTTCAGGCATTTGCACCACAGTGTCCAGAAAGCTCGCTCCTAAGGAGACACATAGCATGGCCACACAGATGAGTCAGTTCACATCAGCCCTACTTGAAAGTAAGTTGAAACAGAGGGAGGAGATTAAGGAAGAGTAATGGTTTGTCTTTCCAAGGATACATTTCCCTGTTAGCTTCGGGAATGGGATTTAGCGACATTTGTAAGGAGAGAGAGCCTTCAGCGAAAGGCAGGCTGAATTTCCTGACAGTGAAAAACCAGAGGCCCTAGCCCTCTCCTCACTGCATCCTCAACTTACCGCTGTCTCTTGCTCCAACTAGGAAGACGATGACTTGAAGGATGGGTTGGAGCTGCTACTGGAGATGTTCCCAGCCTGTACCGTGAGCCAGGCAGAGAAGGCTCTTGCCATGGCCTTGGGGAACTTGGAGGAGGCAGTGCAGTTAATTGTGGAGGAGAAGGTGGAAATTGGCCCATCAGGTGTGAGTGTGAAGGTACTGTACTCTGACCTGGGTGGCAGTGGGCCAAGGAGCAGAACAGAGCTCAGGGACACACAGGCATCACAGCTGTCTCCCACAAGCAGGAGCTTTGACTGCACAATGAGCCAGGAGGATCACCCAGAATAACAGCCCCTCCCTCTCCCTCCCTTGGCTCTCTTAGTATTAGGCTGTGCCCACAACCAATCTAGCAGCCCAGTGGAGGTGTGGCTGGCACTGCTTTCCCACAGAGGCTGGAGTGCTCCACCAGCAGCTGAACTCACCAAGCTAGCAGGGGGAAACTGTATGTTCCATGTGTTGTGCTGTTCATACACCCACCTTGTCTCCTCCCAGGAACTGGCACGGCCCCGCAGAACACCCAACCACGAGGAACTAAAACAGGTTATCCTACAGAAGTAAGTACCCAACAGCAAAGAACCCCTCATTTTGCTCTCAGTAAAGGAGGAGGTGGCAGTTTGGGAACAATGTGGTCTATAAAGAACTTAGGCTGCAAGATGCTTAGAAGGAGGCTGTGAAACTGATTTGGGTATAGCTGAACACATCTAAACACAAATACAATCATCATCTGGAGGGGGAAAAAAAAACAACAACCAACAACTACAAAAAAACCAAACCAAACCAACAAACAAAAAACCAAAACAAACAGATTTGGTATTTTTAGAGCTCTAGCACAGAAACAGATTACCTGTACCAGCTGGGTCACAACACTGGCTGTGTGTGAGGTTTCAGCCTCCTGCAGATATAGTGTAAATCACAGTACTGTTGGCTGAGGTCTTGGTTAAAGTTTCAAGGCACAAACATCATGCTGCAGCTCAGGTAACAAACACATGGTGATTTGTAGAACTACAGCGTTTGTAGAACTCATTCATACCTCTATCCTTGGAGACAGTCCAAACAAGGCTAAAGATATCTTTAAGAGGCTGTCTGTACAACAACACTGAGAAGATTAAATCTCAGTTGCTGAAGGTGAAAATTTAGTGCATTTAAAGAAACCTCTCTGAAGTCCCCCTGTAGGCTTCTTGGGAATGAAAGTATCTATAGATTGGTTTACCTATATTTATTTCTAAAAGCATTTAATTCTCAGTAAGAGAACCCACACTGTGGTTTCATCGATCTGCTTTAAGATCTCAGCTTTCATGAGCAGGCAGCTTCCACACATCTATCCAGCCACATTTTTTCCACCACTTTACATTCTCCCCAGTGACAGAATAACCAATTGGTGGGCTAGATAACGCAAGGCAGAACAGCATCCAGGCAGAAGTAGTAATCTCTGTCCTTGCCCACCTCCTGTCCAGGCTCACGTCAGTGACAGGCGAGGGAACAAAAAAGCACCAGCTCCTTGTTATGTTTCTGAGAACTTCAGTTTAATGACATTTTGGCAACATCCTGTACTTTAAACATCACTCAAGCACAGGTACAGAGAGCAGATCGCCATAGCTGAAGATACACATGAGCAACTATATTAACTACTGAGGGAGCAGTCACGGTCAGCTGTGCTAAACCAGCACCAAAATCTCAGAGTAGCAACTCAGCAGTACAACAAGCAAATGCTTGGACCCTGATGTTTCAGTCACATAGGAAATGAGGTGATGCTTTTATGAAGTTGCTTCCAGCACAGGCCTGTTTCATAGTCAAGTAGGAGATGGAGTGTGAAAGAAACACCATCGTTCAGAGCAGAAGCAGACAGATTGGTCCTCTAATCTCACCTGTCTCCTTTGGCTGCCATCACTTGGACTGAGAAGGAGCAAAGCTGCCCCAATGGGAGAGCACACCTGACCTCAGCACCTCTCTCAGTTCTGCAGTGGCTATCAGCATTCTCAGCCACCTGAGTTTTCAGTACCTTTCACATATAGCCAAGGATGCTACTCCAGGAGAATCCTGCTGGATTCTCACCAGAAGGATGACACTTCTGCCCATTTCATCCACTTGGGAACATCAAGTGCTCTTTGCTGCAATCTAGTCACATAGGACGCATTGCACAGCCACAAACCATCCAGGGGAGAAGGGATACAGGCTGTGAGTAGCCCCAGGCAACATAGCAGTGTTTACTAAATGCTTCTTGTGTTTCAGATACATGATGGTGGATAGTGCAGATGATCAGAAAACACATCGGCCAGCTCCACCCAAAGAGGTAAGCAGAGCAGTCCCAGCTCACCAGCAGTTTGAATGTCCTTTGTTACAAGGTTTAAAAAAATCAGGGTGAAAGTCCAAAAAGCAAGAGGGCAGCCAAAGGCAGGACCATTCACAGAACCTCTTACTCAAAGAGAGAAGATTAGCTTAGCTCAGGTGCTGCAGGGTCTGTCAGTTCCTACCATTCCTGACTACCGTGGCTCTTGCTCCCCCCGATCAGACAACATCCTTTCCAATTTTGGCCAAGATTCCCAGCACAGATGATGGTAAAGCAGCCCACCCACCTCCCAGAGTGCAGTTCTACTTCTGCTTGCCCCCTGCCTTTCTCAAGCAGTGTGGCTGTCCATCCACTTGGTGTTAATGTCTTTCCTCACCAGGCTCCCAAGAAGTTGATCCGCTATATCGATAACCAGGTGGTGAGTACAAAAGGAGAGAGGTACAAAGACATCAAGAAGCCTGAGAGTGAAGAGATGAAAAGAACCTATATCAGCCTAAAACCAGCCAGGAAGTACAAGTTCCACTGACAGCCAGGTTCTCCTGCTCTTCAGCCTTCCACCTCACTGGCCAGGCATGGCAGGATGGACTGTGGTGCTAGGAATGAGGGACTCCTCCACCTGCCACTAACTTGAACTAACCTGGGAGCCAGGACACTGTTTTCAGCTTCCTCAACTAACCTAGTTGACAAGGAGGAGACTTCTCTCCATGGGTAGCTATCCCTCTGCCCCCAGGGGCACACTGCAGTGACTCTCTGGAGCCTGGGCATTCTCTGCTCTATATTGCATGGGACATTTTTAGATCTGAGATGTGGCTTGTGCTTTTGCAGCAACCTTTTTAACAAGTCTCTGTGCACTGTTGCTTTGAGTGCCAGTATTAATAAAGATGATGTGAGTTGGTGTGTAGTTCTGCCAGAGCATGCATATGCTTTACAGACACTATCTCCAATCCCACCTAGGGCCAAAGATAGAATCAGGGTCATCCTCTCTTCCCCTCATTACTCTCACCACAAGATGTGGCTGCTGTTTGATTAACTGCCTAGCGGATAACAAGGGCTGAGGCTGAACTCCAGAGCTAGACTCTCCCTGCCAACGTAACCTGCAGCTCTCCACAAACTTCAGCTTACAGTAGAGCCAGTGCTTCTGCCATTTCTTACCACTATTGAGTGCCAAATTTCCAGCCATGCCACATGGAGCAAGATACAGTAGCAGGCCTGGGCACTACTAAAATGTTAAGTCAGAAGCTGGAAGAAACAAATGACAATGACCAACTGCTTTCAGTGACAGCACAGCTAGGTTTGGTGCTTTTCTGTCAGTGAAACTGTAGTTAGGAGCATCTCCCACCTTGCCCCAGCCTAAACCAGCACCCTAGGCCTGGACAGACACACTGCCTGCGCTGGGGCCATGCCAGTCCTTTGGTGCTAGGCTGGCCAGTGGCCACAGGCTGGAGCTAGGCTTACTGCCCTCCTCCCAGAGCCCAGAGGGGCCTGCCCTCTCCCAAGAAGAAGGCTGGTAGCTGTTCTCTTTCCTGCTCCAGCTGGTCTGGTTTGTTCCACAGCTCTGCTGGCATGCCCTGTACACCCACCCCAGGGGACAGTCCCCATCACACACTCCCCTGCTCTCTGGACAGCTGCCGCTTAGAGATTTAAAATACAACAAATAGTAAATCCTATCTATTAGCTGGCCTGGCCAAGGCCTGTTCAGCACCATGGTGTTCCTGCAAGTCAAGCGCTCTCTCCACGCCACTGTAGAGGGAGTTACTTTCCCCAGAGGCATCAATGAAGCCTATTCATGAACATTCAGTGGCTGCTAAACAGCCCCAGAGGAAAGAGTGAGCCCCACTCAGGCCAGCCTCACCAATGGGACCGACCTCTCCCTCTGCACGTCTCCACAGCAGCCAGTTCCAGCATCCTTCCAGGTTCCCAGCGTTGCATCAGTCCCCCCCTCCCCGGCAGCAGCAGTTCTAGATCTGAAGGTTGATGAAAGGGGCGAAGCCAACCACGTCCTCCAGGAGAATAAGAGCCCTCCGCAGTGGAGGCTCCACATCCAGCTCCACCCCACGGCTTCGGAGGATGCTCAAGCTGGACTCAGCCACGTTGTGGCAATGCTTGACCTTCAGCGAGCGCAGCTTGGGACAGTACTCAGCCAGGACTCTGCCAAGAAAGAGAGCACATGCAAGTTGCAAGTCAGGATTCCTAAGTGCACCATTCATGCTCTACTCTACTCCCAGCAGCCCAGCGCTCATGACTGTACCATACGTGCACCATCCTTTGGGAGCAGCACCCTGGCAGTCTGAGAGAGTCAAGGGACATGGTTGGATCCCAGACCTTCCCTCCATAATATGCTGGGAAATTTGCTGTCAATAGCACACAGTGTCTCTCCTGAAGGGCCTGCAAGTGGCTTCTCTCCCAGACTGAGCTCTCATTGCTTTCAGCATGAAGATATCTGCCTTTCCTCTCTAGTTCTCTTCCTACCCCAGTCACCTGCCATCCCCACATTGCTCAGTACCTGATGGAATCATTCTTGACTCGCAGACACCCTGTGAGGTCCAAGTGCTCCAGCTCGGGGCAGCACTTGGCAGTCTCCTCAACTGCCACGTCGCCCACATTGGCATTGACAGCCAGCGACAGAGACTTGAGCCTGCTGCACTTCTGCACCAGGTAACAGATGGCCTCGTCCTTCAGCTGGCGGCAGGCTGTCAGGTCCACAGCCTCCAGGGCCTTGCAGTGGTCAGCCAGGCTGCGCAGGGCCAGGCTGTCCACCCAGTCGCACTGAGCCAGGGACAGCTGGCGCAGGTTGGGGCAGCTCAGCGAGATGGTCACCAGCGCATGGCGGCTGAGCTGGACGCAGCCCTTCAGCTGGATCTGGTGGAGGTGGTGGTTCTGCTCGATGACTGGGAGCAGCTCGCAGTCCGTCAGCCAGGCAGAGCAGTTCTGGAGCGCCAGCTGCTGCAGTACTTTGTTGTCCTTCAACAGGTTAACAAAAGCAGCTCGAGGGATGGCAAATCTGATCTGTGTGGGGAACCCAGGACGAGTTAGGCACCTCCCCAGCGTTTCACATTAGCCTGATCCTCACCAAATACCCTCTCCCCTCCTTTCTTCCACTGTGACAGTGGTGACCAAAGCCACTCTCTTGTCCTCATCCTGGGGCAAACCCTACCATCAGACTCTCCTCACGTCATGTCAAGGCTACTGCCATAAGCTAGGAAGATGCTCTGGCTTCTTCCATCCCACATCATCACTCCTGCATTTATATACTTGTGGTGAGCTCCACATGTCTGCTCTCCAAAAATCTCTTTGCTAGACCACTCTGTGTCCTCACAGAACAGCAGCTACTCCTGTCTTTCCCACTCCTAGGCAGTGTCTCCTAGAGCCAGCACAAGCTTTCCCCGATGACCAGGCACAGAGTTACCCCCCATCAGACCCACCCTATTGCACAACCTCTGTGAGGACCAACAGGCTGTGCCACTCCAGAGCTGGCTTGTGTTTCTGCCAGCCAGTGCCCCATAATGGCCTAGGTGGAATTTCCAGGCTTACTCCTCCCAGGGCCTCTTGATAAAGACACTGGCATTGCTGAGCCCTGAATCACTACCTCTCCTCCCTGAGCCCATCTGTCCAGTCTGACACCTGAGCCATTAACCCAAGCTCCTGAGAAGAAACTACCCTCCTTGCCTGGAGGTTCTTCTCCCCACATAGATGCTCCCCTGTTAGTTCCAAAGCAGTAGGACATCTGTGTCCTCCCCCAGCCTCAGAGTCATCCAATACCTGGCTTGAGTCAAAGCAGCGCATGTTGGCCAGGTACAGCTGGATGAGAGACTGGAATGACTTGCTGACCCTCTGCAGGCTCAGGAGCTGCTGCAGTGGCAGATGACAGAGAATATGTGGAAGCAAGACATCTTCCCAGGGCAGGTCCAGGAGGCATCTCCTGGTGGGGGTCAAACTCATCCTCAGACACCAGAGAGCCAGGCCACTGCGGGAGCTGGGCTAGATCACCTCACACCTACTGCCGAGAGCCTCTAGGAGGAACAGCCAGAAAGAAAGACTCAGCGACGTTTCCCACAATCAGCCCACAGGGTAAGTCCCTGTGGCGATCCATCAGCAGGGCATGTGCCTGCCACCTGCGTCACCTCCTCCCCAGCCTGGGACGTTCACTGCTCAGGCATCCGAGTTCACCTGCCCGCATTGCCCTCCAGGAGTCCTCAGGTAGGGCTTTCTACCAGCCGCTGATGGAGTCCCTGTCCCTCAGCAAAGCAGCAGGAGGCTGCTGCAGCATCACCGCACTGCTCGCAGGGTAGCTGTGCCCGGCTTTCACATCTGAGCGTCACTCTATTCGGCAGCTAGTCCCCGGCATCCAGTGCCGGGCCACTCGGGCGCCCTGCGAGGGGGAGAGACCAGGTCCCCGCTCCTTCCCGCGGGGAGCAACAAGGCTCCGGAGTCCCCCCACGGTGTCCCCCCGAGGAGCGGGCACTCGGCACCTCTGCGGCGATGAGGCCTCGGGCCGCGAGAGGAACCGGCAGAGAGGTTCTGGCAGTTCGGGGCCTCCCGATCTGCCGTTGGAGGCCGGTTAGACTCGTCCCCAGCAGCACCCGCAGCTGGGGGAGCCTCGCCCGCGGCCGTTCCTGTCCCGCCGCCCCACGGGGCCCCGCTCGGCCCCAGAGTCGCCCCCGAGCTGCCCTGCCGCCGCGGCTGCAGGAGACACGCCGGGGCCTGGACACCGCCCCACTCCCCGCCGCAGGGCCCCGTGGCAAGGCGGCAGCGCAGCCGAGCCGAGCCGAGCCGAGCCGAGCCCAGTCCTGCCCTGCCCTGCCCTGCCCTGCCCCCGGTACCTGCGGCCCCGGCGAAACTCCCCCGGTCCGTCCATCCCGCCGCGCTGCACCCGCCCGGGACACCGGCGGCCGCCCGTGACGTCACGGCGCCGGGCGGAAGTGCGCGCGCACCACCGACCCGCCCCCGACCCGCGCCCCGGCGGCGGCGCGCGCGGTATCGGGGCCGGTCGGGAGGGGCCGGGGGGGCGGGAGCGGGGAGAGCTCGAGGCTGCCGGGCCGGGGCACCGGGCAGGTGGGGCACGGCGCTCACAGATCCCGTTGGTGTCCCAGCGGCTCCTGCAGGTGGCTCCCAGCGGCACGGCTCGGCCCGCACACCGGCCCTGGTGCCCCGGCTCCCCAGGCGCACCCGCTCCCCCGGGCGCACCGCCTGTCCCAGTTCCTCAGTTATCCCAGTTCCCCAGCGCACACCAGATCCCCAGTGCGCACCAGTTCCCCGTGGCCCCAGCTCCCCGGCGCGCACCTGTGGCTGCAGCCCCGCGGCTCCCCCGGTTCCCCCGTGCACACCGCCTGTCCCAGTTCCTCAGCTGTCCCGTCTCCCCAGCGCACACTAGGTCTCCAGCGTACACCAGCAGCCCCCGTTTCCCGTGGCCCCTGTTCCCGGTGCACAGGGGCTGTCCCCGTTCCCCACGGCCGCTGTTCCCGGTGCACACCGACTGTTCCCTGTTCCCGGTCCACACGGGCTGTCCCGGTGCACACCGGCTGTCCCCGGGCCCCGGGCCCAGCGCACGCCCCAGCCCCGCCGGGCAGGTGGACGCGCATGCGCATTGCGGCGGCGCTGTCCGTTCAGCACCACGCGGAGCCGGGACCCGCCGGACCCGCCGCTGCCGGTGAGCGACGACCCCGCTCCCGCCAGACCCCCCTGCCCCCGCCAGACCCTCCCGGCCACCCTCCCGGCTCTCTGCTCTCCCAGCGGTCTATGCCACCCCTCGCCCGCCCACAGGAGCGGCAGGACCTCCGGGGAAAGGCCGGTGCCTGGGGCTTACCGTCCTCACGGCGCCCCCGACCGGCAGCCGCTGGCCCCGCTCCCCCGCCGGTACGGGGCTACCCCACCCGGGGCCGCCCGCGGCCCGCCCCCCCAGCCCGCATCCTCCCGCTTTGCCAGCCTACTCCCCCCGCCTGGCTCCCCGCCCCTGCAGCCCTGGGGAGCGAGCGGGGTCCGGCCCCTCGCCCGCAGCCCCCGAGGGGAACTGGCCCGGGCTCCTGCCCGCGCGGTTGCCATAACAACTCCGCAGAAACAGACGCTGCTCTTCCCTCCCCGCTGCCGCGCACCCCCCGCTGGTGCGGCACTCGCACACCACAGCCTCTACATGGCCCTGGGCAGGTGACCCCATCTCTGGCTCGGATCTGAGCCCTGCCGCCTTGTGCAGCATCAAGCTTCTGATCACTGCTGGCATAGGCACTATAAAAAATTCACCTGGCAAAAGAGCAAGACCCACATACAGTGAACGAGTCCCCAATACCCGTTCCCGAGTTCCCTGGAAAGCAATAACCTGTCTATGCAACTTATTGTGCTCATTCCCTCACAAGGCATAAGCTGGTTTGCAGAAAGGTTTTCTCTCCCCAGTGCCTGTCCTCTAGGGGAAGCTACCCACGCTGTCTACCCCGGACACATGGCTCCCCGAGTTAGCACAGTACCTTTCTCACTTGCAGAAGGACAAACAATGCAGGGATTTTAAATTTTATATGGGAGTTGAGAGTGCCCCTGGCCATGTCCTGGGACAGCCCTTCCTTCCCCTGGGGTGGGGGCACTCTGTTCTTAAGTTCCTGCTGAGAAATGTGCCAGCTGGCAGTCCCTTAATATTCCCCCTCTAAGTGAATGCCTGTGGCTGAAGCTGGCTACAAGGAGGGGTTTTGAAATAGTGGTCTTGGTCTGCGGACAAGGTGAGGGAGCGAGCGAGCGAGGGATTGCAATGCTCAATTACATCTGATCTTTGCTGAAGGCTTTCTGTGCCAAAACAGACCTGGCTGGGAGCCTCCAGCTTTTGTTGAGTCCTTGCTTGAAGGAACTGTGCTGTGGATTGCTTGTTATCCTTCCTGAGCAATATGTGTGGCAAGTGGGACCTGCTCTGCTCCCACACTTACCTCTGTTTACTTTTTTCATTTCATCTGATCCAGCTGGGCTGGCTGAGTCACTTCCGCAGGAGCCTGCTGGTAGCAGGGCTCAGAGGCAGGCAGAGAGTCAGCCCAGGCAGATTCTGGATACCACAATGAAGTTGGAAGGCACTGTTATTTTAGAGGCAGAAGTGAGACATGGTTGTATTTGTTTCACCCCATGGTATCCCAACCCTTTCCTGGCTTGTGCTGCACATGCAGAAGGAGAAGACTCTCCTACCTTTAAGATCTGGTGCCAAGGTAGAGCCTCAAGGTTTGGTTAGTGCAGGGCCATCTTCACTGAGACACTCACGGCACCACTGAGGAATCACGCTTAATCCAGCTCACTTCAGCCTGCTTGCAGGACAGCATTCACCGTGCCAGGGTTGGAGGACTGCTGCCTCTCAGGCTGTACTGACTTTTTTTTCAGGTGCAGCTCTCAGGGTCAGCATTGCCCTGAGAAACAATGAACAGCTCTTGGATCTTGCAGCCTGAAAACCGGTTTCCTGACTCACCACCACAGCAAGTGCGGTGGGGTGCTTATTCTGACAACCCTCTTTAGCTCTTGAGTTCAGTGCAGCCCTGATTTTGCCGTCTCAACAGTTAGAGGAGTGCAAGCAAGGTGGGGAAGAAAAGGGTAAACATGCCAGCTGTGTCAGGGTATAGCAAGGGTGACTGCCTCTGAAAGGGCAGGGCCTCCCCAGACACAAACCAGTCATTCAATACCTGCCCAATAGGGGCAACTGAGTCAGGCCCAGCCTCATGATCAACAGGCAGGGTCATGATGATGGGGCAGGGCTGAGGTCCATCTAGGACACCAACCTACAGGGGAGGGTCCAAATCAACAGTGCCCACAGCCTAACATAAGAACAGCTTAGCTAGGCTAAGATGGAGACCAGTGCTCCTATAACACTTAATGGAAGAGCCCCAGGCTGCTCTTAAACAGAGCCACTGGGCCTATGGGCAGGAGTGGTGGAGGCTCCAGGGGTGGCTGGTTAGGGCCACTAAGGTTTATTAGTGTCCCGAGAGCCCTGAAAACTGTTGGCCTGTGGGGGAATTGATAGGCAAGCAGGCAGGCCACAGCTACAGCTACACCTTCTGAGGCGTATGTACTAGGTACTAGGAATTACGAACACTTCCCAGCTGTGAAATGTGAAATGTTCAGATTGTTCTCTTTCTTCTCACCAGGTTGTTTGCAGATGCAGAAAGAGCATCAGAGACTCTTACTGTATTGTAGAGGTGTGTGCTGAGACACAGCTTTACACCATCAGGATGTCCAGTGAATCCAGAAACTTAGGACTACAATGGTAAGGATCCCAAACCACTACTGGTTTTACACTCATGTCTGTAAAGATTTCCTGTATGCAGAGTGATTGTGATGTAGCTGTACAGCACTGAAGTACAGGGAGTGGGGGGTGTTACCCACTGTAGCTTCACGGTGAACGACAGCTCCAAGCAGACAAGCTTGAAGAACCAGAGCTTTGTTCTGCTCTGCTCAGTCAAGATTTGCAGAAAGCTTCTGCCTTTCTTGTGGCATATGCTCTGCCTAAGGTGGGTCTGCATTTTTCTTGAGAGGTGCCTGTAAGTTTCCTTTTTAAGCTTCAGCAAGATGCACGTTTGTAGTTGAGCCATAATACCTCAAACTGTCTGCCAAAACAGCTTTGAGTTGGCCCTGATGAGTGCTGGGTTGTGACACCTGCAGTACTTGCAGAGCAGCTGGGGAAGTGTATTGTACAGGTACCTTAAACAAGCAGGGGACACTGGTAAGGTCCGTGGCTCTCCTGTTATCCCAGTGACCGCTGATGTCCTGTGAGGGAAAGCAGGGCTCCCGCGTCAGGCCTTGAGCTGATCTGTAGTAATGAGAGACCAAGCTGAGCCCTGGGGGGAGGAAACAGATTAGCTCACAACAACTGCTGCTGCAGCTTTCTTGTGTATTCCTTGGAAACACAGGGTGCTAGCTGCTCTCAGAGCCAGGGCATGGCATCTTCATCCTCATGAACATCCTCTGAAGTGAACAGAGGCTTCAACCAGCCTCACTGCTGTGAGGCAGTGCTGGGGCCTATCTGTGCTTCTGAAGAGTCTAGAGGAGGAGTTTGCTCTTCACCTCATCCTTTGGGAAGCAGAGTTGAGATTTAGGAAATTGGGGCCTGAAGGAAGGGGAGTCTTGTGCTTAGAAGAGCTCACCTCAAGTCGGGAATCCCAGTCTTTGGTTCCCAGAGATGCTCCTGATTTGCTGGCTATCATAGGCGAGTCTTCCCCACTCATGCCCCTTGACTTTTCCCTTGCATTGAAAATGCAGTTATTTCCATGTCAGAGGTGTTACAAGAGGTTGTTGGATTTCCTGAAGTCTGGTGGGGTCTCCAGAAGCTGGTGCTGTCAAAGGGTACACAAATTATTTTTAGGAGATCAGTACGGTGCCAAGCCAATATTATTCCAATGTCCTAAGACCTATCACGTCATATGATGGCTTGGCATCTTGCTGGCTAAACACCTTTGTCCTTGCAAAGACTTTGGGGGCATTTCCTTTACAGTTTTCTACTAGTCTCAAGTGGGGCAAGAGATAAGACCTTGTCAAGGATACCAGTAGCTCTGTAGTGTTCACTCCTTTAAGATGTGAGACCTAGATGAATGGAGAATCACAGAAGTTCAGTAAAGCCCCTCAACACTCTTTTTTCCTTGGACTCTCACCAGGTTCTTTCAAAGGATCTGGCTCCATCTTTTCTCTGGCTGCAAGATAAGTCTGACAGCCTCCATCACTCTCAAGGCTGGAGTAGACCACAACTGGACTTCTTGGTTGCATGGGAGAAGGTGTTGAGCTCACAGGGCAAGTTCTGCTGTCAGTGAGCGCTGAGATTGCACAGTGCCACCAGAAGCCAGTTTTAAGCCTGTGAAACAAGAACACATGATGACTTCTGTTCAGCTCTTCCCTGTACATGCCACCTTCCTCCTTCTCTTATTGAGAAAAGACTCTGACTATACAGTCAGGGCTGAAAAAAAACAAATAGAAGCAAAGCAAGGCCAAGTTCTGCAAGTCATAGCTGAAAGAGGAACATGCATTAGAAGCTACACACAAACGCAGGGTTGTTCTGCAGCGTGAATCTACTGCATTCAAGCTTTCAGTGTGTCCTTTGCATGTATCTCCACACATCTCCATGATGGCAGGTTTTGCTCCGTTTTCTGGATATACTTGTAATTATATATAATATATAATCTTCTAGGGTTTCCACGCCTTTTACACAATTCTGTATGTGCTATGTTCTCCCTGTGCTAGGTCAGGGTATGTGTCTGGAGCTTATTTCTGCATAAAATGCTCTGTATTCGTTACTCTTACTTCCCCTGACACCCTTTCCCCATTTGAATCTTGAGGACAAAGGTGTGGGGAAGGGATCACATCTTACTGCTGCAGAGATTAGCTGGAGACCAGCTCTAGAGATCTGTACTGCAGCACAAGGGTGTCCTGGAAGGCTACACCAGAGAAGTGTGATTTGGGTTGCTTCAGACTAAATTTGTCTCTTTGATGCAGTGACTCATCATGGTGAGGTGGGTCTGGTGAATGACCTGCTGGCACCCAGGAATCTCTGTCTTCAGTGGAGAGCCCACCTCACCAGCCAGAAATCTGCTTTCCTTCAAGACCGTCTTTCCCTGAGCATCTTTTTACCAAGTGATACTCCCACACGATTGTTCCCCTAACTGCTGTGTAGGGAGATTATTTATGGCTCAAGTTGTGCTGAGGCCCCACCTCCCACGTCCCCAGGACAGGTTTTATCATGCTGTCATTTCTGTCTTCATCTTGACAGAGCAATGCTGGTGCAGGAGGAGGCCCACTCACTGTGCAGGTGCTGCCTGTCACTGGGACAGAGTCTAAGGAGATTTCTGTAATAGCAGGTGTTCCTGGGGCATGACAGAAATATTTTGTTACAGGCCACTCTGAGGATCAGCGCACAGCTTTTGACACCATCTTTCTATACTTCTGCTCTTTCAAGTCTGTGCTCCTGCTGCGAGAGGGAGAGCACCAGGTAGTGAGCTGGGACACTGAGTAGGGCACTGGCGATTGGGCAGGCAGCAGCTATCCCTCACATAGGCTTTAGTCTGCATGGGTTCGTCTCTCTGGTAAGACATTTTGCAGTCTGCCCTCTTCTAGAGTGTCTTTCACTCTGAAAAATCCTGTTGTGGTCCCACATGACTGCCCCATACAGGGAAGCTGCAAGAGGCACAGAACAGTGCACTTGTGCTCTCCCCAGCTCCAGGTCTGGGGGGGGGGAGCTGCTGGCAGGATCTCCAGTGCTGTCTTTTTACCCTGACTAAGCTGTAAAGCAGCATTTGTATAACAGACTGTCAAGGGAGGCTTTTTTCACTGTTTATCCTTAACCACCAGTCTGGTGGAATAACAGATAAGTGCATCAGCCCATTAAAGACTTGGCTTATGCTGCAGTGGCTTTTTTAATATACAGCTAGGAAGTGGTTGGGTGTTGGCATCAGAGGCAGAAGGCATTAATTAGAGCCATGTAGTTAAGTCTAGGCCCTGAGGGAACACATGCAACCTAATTGGTTGCCCTGGAGCCCTCAATGCAGAGATGAGGGGAGTTCATCTTCCCTCGCCGTCACTGGACTCATCTACTGCAGGGCTGGAGTTGCTATTTCCATGATACTTCCAGTGAGCCGGGTGAGGAGAACCCATCTGCTGATGGAGTGACTGCCCCCACTTGCTGGGCTACAGCGTGCCCTGAGTCTACAGTACAGCTGCACTGACTTTGGCAGCAGTGGGGCAGAATATGCCCTTGTGCCCTTGTGCCTTAAGCACAAACTGCTCAGGAAACAGCTCTGACAGTCCCCCTAGGCTCAGAGGAGCAGCCCTGGGGTGCACTGGGATGTTTACCCCCAGTGGAACTCGAGCTGCAGCTGCAGGAGAGGCACCTTTCTGGAAACTGATCTGAAGCAGATGTCTCTTGCAGGCATCAGCCCCTCCTGGAGCCAACTGCGGGAAAGAGCTCTTGTCTACCCCCTCTTCACCTGAATTTTATCTAGATCTGTACAGTTGCTGGGACACTATGACATCTCAAGTTGATCTTTTCCAAGCAAGAAGTTAATCACCGATGACACCCACACCCTTCTGGCCTTTGGGGGTGAAAACTGGGTTGCAGGCTTACGAAGACAACCCAGTATTGCAATAGTTAGAAAACTCTTGAAAGCTGTTGCAGAGCCCAGGAGGCTGAAAAGGATGACATGGAGCTGAGTGGACTCTAATGCAGGAAGGATGTGGTACCTGCAGGCAAGGACTGGAGGTGATGAAGTACCCAAGTGACAGTAAAGATGGTTCCTAGTGCACTGCACTCCTGGCTCTCTAGCTAAGCCCAGTGGACTGGGGTTGTGGGGTAGAGCGAGGGAGACTCCTTGTCCCCTTCTGTTATCTGCCAGAGGGGTTCTCTGCTCTTTCCTGTCCTGAACCATCTGGGGAGGGATTCACAGCAAGGAGGGATCAGGAGAGCCAGGGCTAAATCCTGCTCCAAGCAGGGCTTATGGCATTGCTGGCCAGACCCACATATGCGGGTACATCTTTCAGGAGTTATAAGGCTGTGGGAAGGTGAGCAGGATGTGGTAGGGAGAGCAACAGCTACTGCTACTGCAGGGTAAATGGATGTTTTGGACAGAAATGTATTTTCTGTGGATGGTCTGGATCTCCACTCAGGATGGTAGGAAAGGACCTCTCTCTTACCTTCTGCAGCTCTCAGCACGGCTGCCTGCAGGTGCTGAGAAGGCAGACGTGCCTTGTCCTGGTATGGACACGCTGGGAAAGCTCTGAGCTCTTCCACTTGGTTAAATTTGTCACTCTAGCTGTGGCTTAGAGAAAAGCCTTCCCTCTCCCCGCCCTCCTGCCATCAAGAAGCTGCTGAAGGAATCAGGTCGTTGATCCTGCAGCAGTGAAGCCCCTAATTAGCCCAGCTTCTTGGAGTCTGCCAGGAAAGCCGACTGTGTGTGAGGCAGCTCTGAGACCCACGGTCCTCAGTGTGGAGAAGAGGGGCCCTGCGCAGGCAGAAGTCTGGAGAAGGAGAAAATGGCAGCGCTTTGATGCATTAAATATGAGAAGAGCCTGCCCAGCCTGATGACTTCTCCCCATGTTCCCATGCCTGGAAGGGGAGAAGGAGACACACTTTCTGGGTGACAGTGGGCGCAGGTGGGCATGGAGCTGGGCTGGCTGCAGGCGGGGAAAGCAGCAAGGAGAGGCAGCTCTTCCCAAATTCCTCTTGCAGGCATTATGTACACGTGAAGCCCCGGCTCCCTTGGGTTTCTCCTCTCATACACATTTAATAATGATTGCTGGGCTGGGTAATAAATTGCTGTTTAATAGCAAATCGATCTGGCAACTTGTGTGAGCACAAGTGCTGGCTGCCAGTCCCAGCGGCTGCCATACACGGAGCCAGCACACTGGCAGCACAGTGGCCTGGAGCCCAGCCGCAGCACCTCTCACCTTGGTACCCAGCCGTCCCATATGAGCTCTACTCGCACGTGCTGCTGGTGGCAGCAGAGCCCACACACCGAGGCAGGATACAAGTGATGGGTGTTTTTCCCCCCTTGTAGCTAGGAGTGGTTTCCTGAAATTGGCGTGGCTTTTACCATCCTGGGGGTGCCATGACACTGTGATATCAAGTCCCTGGTGTCTTGAAACACCTTGGCACACATGGCTGTGGTGTGCTTAAGGTGATGACCTTTGGAGAGATAAATCCCTGGCACAGAGCCTATGCTCTAAGGCAAGGACCAGCAGCCTGGGGATGTTGGCCAGTGGCCTAGGCCCCAGGGTAGCCTTTATCTTCTCATCCTTGTGGTTCCCAAGCAGTGGTGGAGCACATGGCAGCCTGTACCCTTTGGCACAGGGCACAACACACAGGGCTGTGCATACTCACGCATGAGGACACGTGCCAGCGGCCCCATAGTAACTTGCACGCTGCTGAGCAGAGACATGCCTTGCATGGCGATATGCACACCGATGAGCGCAGATGTGCACACGAGGACACTGGAACACACACAGCAGCATACGGGGTCGCACTGCCAGCGCACGAAGTTCACACCGGCACAGGGGGTGTGCACACCGGGCCGGGGATGTGGAGGATGCTACACGGAGGGGGTGGACCCACCCTGCCGCACAGGGGACCTGCACCCGGCGGCGGCGTGGATTCGGCGGTGGCTCCTCGTGTGCCGGTGCCACCGCGCGGGGCGGGGCGCGGCGCCCGGCGGGGGCTTCCCATTGGCTGTAGGGGCTGTCAGCGGGGCGGAGTGACAGCCGCGGGCCGGGATTAGCGCGGCGGGGAGCGGCGTGCTGCGGCCGGTGGCACCGTATCGGACCGGACCGTGCTGTGCTGTGCTGTACCGCACCGCACGGTGCCCGACGGGCCGAGCCGGGCCGGGCCGGCGGCAGCGCGGAGCAGCGGCGCGCAGCATGCGGCGGCGGCACTGCCGGTGAGGCGCGGGGAGCGGAGCGGGGCGGGGCGCGGAGGGGACCGGAGGCCGGAGCGGGGCGTTGGGGGAGCGGGGAAAGTTGCAGCAGTTGTTGCGGGAACCGGGGCGGCTCTGCGTCCCTCTGGCATCGGTGACCGGCGGGCAGCTGCACGGGGCTGCGGTGGCACCGGCGGCACGGGGCGGGGCCGAGACCCCCCCCGCCGCTGTCGCGGAGCGGCCCCGGTGTGCCGGTGCGGCGGGACGGGCGCGGGGCCGCTCCCCAGGCAGGGAGAGCGCGGCCGGCGGCTCCGCGGGGGGAGCGAGCAAGCGGGAGGCTCCGCAGGCTCCCCTGGCCGGGGGGGCTCCCTCCTTATCCGGATGGATGTCACATCCACTCAGGGCTGATCCTGCCGAGACGGGAGGTGCCGGGCGAGGGAGGCCGGGCGGGGGGTGTCGGGGAATGAAGAGCATGCTCAACCTTAGCTCAAAGGGGGGGCACGTCCCCTGCCAAAACACCTCATCACGAAGGGGTCCCCTGTTTACCCTACAGCCCTCGGACCGCCAGGCACCCCGTTTCGGTCACCACTGCATCCCCCGAAACTGCTCCGTGTCCCTCGGGAGGGTAGAGTCATCTCCCGGCTGCCATCCCGCCCTAGCCCCGTCAGGTGGCCCGGCAGCCACAGCCTGGTTTCGCCAACTACGGCCCGTCGTGTGAATTCAGTCCCCAGCCCTGCACCTCTTGCTTCCGTCCCATCTCTGTCCCGTTCTTTGCCCAATTCCCTCTCATCCTCCTCCAGCTCCTGCACGTTGTCCCCGCACTCCCGTGGCGTGGGTGTGCTCTTCCCCCGCAGTGTAAGCAGTTCCTGCTGGCTGCTGCCTTCCCACCGCATCACTCCGCCAGGCAAGCGCCTGCATGGGGACCAGCTATCCCCTGTTGCACCGGGTGCAGCTCAAAGCGAGGGCCGAGAGGCATCCCTGGACATCCCTTTGGCCGCTAAGAAGGGACAACCAGGAGGAACAAGTTTCTTGTGAGATGTTTTATTGAACAAATTAAATCCCCCACTGATGTGCAGCTCCCAGCTATCACACTACAGCTCCCAAGTTTTCCTCTTTGAATGCATGCCCAGGGTTGTCCAAGCAGACACCCTATGAGCTTTCATTTGCAGGACTTCTCCTGCCTTTAGGCAGCAGGACCAGCAAGGCTCCCTCCAGCCCACTGGTGCTTTACAGCCCAACCCATTCATCACAGTGATTTAAAGAGCATCCGTTCAATGCACAACTGAAATCAGCAAGCAGGAAGCCTTAGCTCCATCACTGGTTTTTCATCACAGTTGCATTTGTGCCTTTTACCTTTCATTATTAAAGAAAAGCTCACTCCACTGGATGGTGTAGCCATCTGGCTTTGGTGGGTCAAAGGCAGGCATGGCCTTTACTCTGAATTTGATAATTCTTTAATAACCAGAACAACACTCTGCTTATTCTGTTTATTCTAGTAATAACTCACATGCATTGAGATAGGCTGGTTTTTGTAGATTTGTTATGCTACAGTGAATGCAAACTATTCCAAGTGATAAGTTTTTTCCTTGGCATGTGTGTCAGTCTGCATTGAGATAAAAAGTGGAATTTCATTTGAAATATATAAACCCTGCATCTTTATTATTTATCAGTTAACTTCAGCAACCTTGAATGTGAACACAACCATAACAGGAGAAAAAGATTTTAAAAACAGTAACTGATAAATTAAACACGAGAGTATATTTTTGCAGTGAGTGAAGTAAAAGATTGCTGCTGCTCAGCAGGAGACAGATTTTTTAGCAATGTGATAGCGCAGATAGATGGGCGCCTGTCCCACAGGTGTGATTTGGGCTATTTTATTAAGAGTTATGTCTCTGCATCTTTGGAGCCTAAACACTGTGGAAAATTGAGCCCCACGTCCTTTAGGAATTTAGTCCTGTCTGGTTTGCACTCAGAAACAGGGAGAAGAAATCATGTTTTCCTGTTTGCAGCTGGCATTTGGTTTCTCACTTTCAAATGGTGAGAGTGCAGGACTTAGTATCTTGGCATCTGTCAGAAGGCAAATGCAGCCAAGCAGAATCTTCTCTGCACATTAAGAATTCGAAGAAACTCAGGGAAGGATAAGTACAAGTTTTAGCTCCACTGGGAAAAAGAAAAATGTCAGCAGCGGGGCTGATGGGGGCACCGGGTCTTGCCTTCCCCTGCAGCCACCCACCCATTGCTGTGGGGTGTCTGGCCCCACCTCTGGGTAAATGGTCTCTGGGCAGAGACAGGCAGGCAAGTGAGCTGTATGCAGGGCAGGCATGCCTTGTTCCCCCAGGCTGGGATTGTCTGTAACCACTGCTTTTTGGATCTACTGGTGTTGACAGCTCTGTCTGCGCCACCAGTAGTGGCTGCGGCATGTGCTGGTGTGACACAGTTTAAACCCAGGCTGACCTCCAAAGAGAGAGGCTCCTTGCCTTTGCTGCTCATGTTAAACTCATTGAGCAAGTGTAATTGGAGGATGTCTCAGTGATCCAGTATATAATTTTTTTCCCCCTTATTGAAATGATTTTAGTAGGCTATAGGCTGTGGGTAGTAAATATATTCAGCCTAAAGCAGGATAAATGAAACCCATTTTATAGTGTGCTCTCTCACTGTGTCTGGGGTGCTGGTCTGTGGGGTAAGTGTCTGAGCATCCTGGCACCCTGGGGAGAAAGCACACACTCTGGGTGCCTGGGGCCAAGCAAGGGACTGCCAATGTCCCTGCGGTGGTGCTGGTGTAATGCCCTCAATGAACCTTGCCTGCTTCTTGCAGCAGGAGGGGATTTACCAGGGGCTGTGTCACCTGGAGCATCTCTTGTTCCTGCCGCAAGGACAGGGCCACTTTGGCTTGTCCTCCCTATGGCCACAGACTCTTTCTTGTGCCTTCCCTTCCCTAACCATCTCTCCTCGCCCTTGTTTCAGGGCTGCCTGAGGATGCATCGCCTCTCAACTCAGACATCTCAGGGGTACCGGGAACCTGCCTTGCTGTGTCTGTGCCACCCTGCTGGGCTCCAGACCTGACACCTCTGTACCCTCTTCCAGCAGGATGGCCCAAGTGGGGGGACCTGTCCGCTTCCACCCCGAGGAGGGCTGTGCTGTCTCACCCCCGCCATTTGCCCACAGGGTGAGCCGGCGGCCCTGGCTGGCGGGGGGGAGCCTCAAGGCTGGGCGGCACAGCCCCCCGCCCTGCCTCACCCCCAACCTCAACGCCGGCCGCCTCCAGCTGCTGCGCAAGGGCCTGGCACCTGATACCCGCCGCTGCCCCCTTGGCCTGTACGGCAGCACCGGCTCCTTGGCCCGCAGGCCAGCTGAGGCGGCACCCTTTGGCAATGGGAGCTGCCCGGGCACAGGGCGACTGACTGCTCCTTGCACCCCACGGCGGGGCCGGCCTGGCCCAGCCATCGCCTCCCTGGGCAGACGCAGCCCACCAGTGGCGGAAACCCCAGAGGGACACAGCTCTGTTGTTACCTTCCGCTTCATTGAGAAGGCCAGTGTGCGGACCCTGGGGAGCCCGACAACGCCCCATGTCCGCTGGGAGAATGGCCCCTACAGCCTCAGCCGCAGCCTGGAGCTCACTGGGGACATGGGATCCCCCCAACCCCAGACCTTGCCCCAGGAGCGGCTCCTGCACACACTGAAGTTGGAGGCTTCCGCATCTGACCCGCTCCTGGCCGGGGACAGGACCCCAGGGGGGACACGTCCCTGTGGGAAGGAGTTCTGTGCCATCAACACCAGCTGCCTCTGCCGATCCCTCACCAATGGGCTGCCAGAGGAGTTCCCTACATTCTCCAGAAGCCCCCTGAAGCCAGAGCCCCATTCCCAAGTAGGTACCGGGGTACCCCACAGCGAGCATGGGGCTCTGCCCTGGGGATCCATTGTCCACTCATCGCTCTTCCCTCTGCAGGGCAACGCTTGGCTGTACCCCCGGCAGAGCTCGGCCCATGCCCAGCGCATTGCCAAGGCCAAGTGGGAATTCTTCTATGGCTCCTCAGATGCCTCAAAGACAGGTAAGAAGTTGGAGGGGGATGCCCTTGGCTGCACCCACCCCTCCTCTGCAAGTCTGTATTGCTGCCAGAACTCTCCCTGGGGCTGCCCATTCCTCGGGGCTTTTCAGCACCCATGGGAAAGCCAAGTCTCCCTCAAGATTGGCCAGTCTGTGTCCTTCTGGGGCCAGATCCTGCACACACCAACCTCCCTGCAGAGTCCCCTGTGGCCATACAAAGGAGATGACACAGAGCCCATGGCTGCCTCTGCAGAAGGGCTTTTGGGTTCAGATGGGGGCTCAAGGCTGGCTGTGGATGCACTAGCCCTGACAGCAGCCTGTCTCTGCCTCTCACACTCTTTTTTCTTCTGCCTCCCTGTCACTGTTCCCCAGTGCACATCACATAGGGGAGTCACCATCCCTGGAGGTGTTCAAGAAATGATTGGACATGGCACTTAATGCTGTGATTTAGTTGACATGCTGAAAAAGTTGGGAGGTTTTGATGTTGGCAGAAGGATCAAAGGTCGGACTCAATGATCTTGGAGGTCTTTTCCGACCTTAATAATTCTATGACATGTATCATGAATGACACATGAGTTCTTGGTGTGTGTGTGTCTGTGTGATGCTGCAGGAGTGGCTCCTCAGAGCTCTCCAGTGCAGCTCCCCATTGCTCTGAATGCTTGGGCCTTCCTTGCAGGCTCTTCTGCCCCTGACTCCACGCCCTTGGCTGAGTCCCCCCACAAGTCTGTCTCCCCACTGCCTGCTAAGCCACCAGTGTCAGTACCTGAGCACAGCCTGAGCCACGTGGAAGTGGAGATAGAAGTGTCTCCTCTGGGCAGCCAGAAGCCTGGCTCCTGTGAGACTGGGATTATAAGGAGGACAGTGAAGTACTCCGAGACAGACTTGGACACTGTTCCACTGAGGTGCTATCGTGAAACCAACATCGATGATATCCTGGCCGAGAAGGAAGAAGTGGATTCAGCAATTGAGAGCCAGAAGGACAGTGAGAGCAACCCAAGCTTTGGGGGCACTCCAGGCAGAAGGAACAGCACACCAGAGGAGCCCCCCACCCCAGGCACTGGCTGCTTGAAGGATGGGCTGCGGGACAGGGACATGGATGAGGACAATGAGGTGTTTGCAGCAATGAAGAAGGAGAATAGAGAAAGGTGAGGCTCTGTGCATGAGGGCAAAAAGTTCCTCTTACCCTCCTTATTATATCCTGCATGGCAAAATGGGCTCTGCCAAAAAGTGTCTGACACAAAAATCCCATTAGCTCCATGCAAGCTGTGTGTGTGGGTGAGATGGGATTCCTGGATTTCACCACAGGGACTGGGACTGGGGCTGGGACTGGGAGGGGGCCCTCACTGAACTATGGAAAGAGTAAGGCAGCACAGGTGATCCAGCCCTGTGCACTAGGCTCACCCCTGGGTGAGCCCTTGCAGCTCAGGTTGCCTGGCTGAGTCAAGGCTTCCCACCATGAGTCCTGACAGGTTAATTACATTCTGCCCCAGTGCTGCCAGGTGCTGGGGTGATGGTGTCAGGGTACCTGAGCACAGGTCATGTCCTGCAGCTGCTCTGGACTGGCAGGTGCTGCCGTACTATCCTACCCTCCACATATGACTGTGCTTCAGTGGTGGGAGCAGTCCCATTTGCTTGGCCTCAGCAGGTATTTGCCATGTTTGGGAAAGAGTAGGAGATACATTTGGATGCAAAAAGCTTTTTCTTGCCTTTTGTGTGGTTTTTCACATGTGTGGCAAAACACCCTGTGCTGGGAGGCTGATGGAGTGGGCGATACCAAGGTTATCGTTCAGTTGCCTGCCCCTGGGCAGCAAGTGTGCTCCGAGCTGCTGTCTGCCCACTGCCAGGCATGGGCAATCAGGACCTATGAGACATGGCCCTTTGGCCTGGTGGCATGAGACTGCCCATGGAGGTTTCTCTGGAGTGGTGGTTTGGCCGTGAGAAATGACGAACATCACCTGCTCCAGAGCACTGTGTGGGACAGACACCTGGAGGGGAAAGGCCCTGGCTGGGAGTAGTAGATGCCTGTGCAGGCAGCGGCAGCCAAGGTCGTCTCCTGACATGTATTGTCAAAGAGTCTTGAGTGAGGTGAGGAGTCTCAGCATCATCAGCAATTGCTCCATGGGAGTTGGGAGAGGTTTCATCTGTGAAGCACAAAACCAGGGTGATGCCTGGGGTGCCATGTGGCAGCATGCACTCACCCAGCTGTGCAAAAGGTAAATGGGGGCAATATAGGTGGAAAAAAAGGAAAAGGGAGGTTTTGATATTGGCAGGAGGAAAAAAAAAAAGAAAATATACCCCTCAGTGGTGCTGCTGCACTGGGAAGAAAAAAATGAAGGTGCTTGGCCGATAAAGAGGGAAGGTGTACATGCCAAGGGGAGCTGAGTTCCTGTCAGTTTGTCCAGCCTTTGCATCTCTGTTGGAGGGGACAGATACATCTCTTCCTGCCACCTACCCTGTTCTCAAAACATTTGAATTCTAGCAAAAAGCTGAAAATAAGCCATTGGTAATGTACTTTTTTTTCCCCAAAAGATGTTTTGAGTAAAATCTAAAGTTATTACCATTGCAAGCGAGTTCTTCAAGTTGCTGTAACAATTATCTTGCATAGTGGTATTTTTTTTCCAAATATGTTCTAGGCTACTACAAGTTGTGTGAGCTGTAAGCCTAGACCTGCTTTTTGTCCTCTGAGGCACCCTACTGTAGCTCCCCAGGCAGTGCTGAATGCTTGGATGTGTCCTTAAATGCATTGTTGCTCCTAAAAGATGATGCTCCTGGTATAATTACCAATGTATAAATAGTGATGTCACGTTCATTTTGCTCGGCTTCTTTGTAGACCACTGGGGTGCTTTTGCTTTGCAGCCCACTGAATATTCCCCTGGTAGGTGCAGACTCTGTGGGCAGTGTCTTGAAAATTATGAGGCTCAAATTGCGAGCTTGTTCAGTCCCTGCATCACAGCCCTGGATTTTTGCTTACACACTGTTTTGAGCTCTGCAGCTGCAGTCCTCATCCCTGTTTACCAGTCACCAGTATTGATGTTTTCTACTTCAAGCTTTCTGCTTTGCTTGCTCATAGGAGCAGTGAAGCTGGGGCAATGAAGGAGCCCCCCCCAACTCCCTGGACCTGGCACCATTCTGCTGCTGCAGGAACTGCTGAACCTCAAGCCTGTCTTGGTAGCTGGGAAGGGGCAACCTTACAAAATTATCGAAGCACTTTTGGATGCTGATTTTCAGTAGATATGTACATCTGTTTGACTATCTAGCTCTAAGTATTTAGCACCCTCTACAAGGGGAACTTTGGCTTGGTACTACCTTGTAGTATTCTGGCCAAAGGTCAGAGCCTTCTTTGGTGGTTTACCCTCCCAAACTAAGAGAGCATGCTAATAGCAAAAATAATCCAACACCAAATCAAACAAGGCATGAAAAGCAATGGAAAAAATGGTGTCTTCTTCCAGCAAATCTGCTCTCTGAATATATTTAAAGTCAGATCTACTGACTCTAATGACTAGTCTAAGCCTTTACTGTCTTTATTCCCACTAGTCCCTGAGAGCCAAGACCTGTCAGTGAGAGCAGGCTCAATTCCCTTCCTCCCTGAGCATCAGCAGACGTGCTGGCTAAGCTGTAAGAAGAGCCTGGCTTGGCCCACAGTGTGGGTGCCTTGGGCTGATAAGAGAGAATAGGCTTTGCTACGGGGTGCCCTGGTCTCCTGAGAGCACAGAGGGCTGATGGGAGGTAGTGATGCTTTTTCTCCCCGCAAGTAGAACAGCTTTGCCCAGGAAAGCCCTTAGATCTGCTGCTTGGGGAGCCTTTCCAGAGCTTTTGCGCTCACTGCTTAGTGGCAAAAAAATAACTGCAGGGCAAGCCTTGCTGGAGATTAAAAAGATGGTTTTGGCCTCAATTTCATCAAACGTTGAAGTAGATGCTTAACCTGCCTCAGTAGCCACTCTGCTGTGTTTTGCTGAGGTTGAGCCTCTGTCTCAGTCCAAGCTCACCATGGAGCCACTGATCGGGGTGATGCTCCTGCATCCCATGGGCTTGGTCTGGAGGGGGGATGCTTGGGGTGATGTTGGCAGGCACCTGGCAATGAGCAGGAGAGGCGCTTGCAACTCTTGGGGAAGGACTGAAGACAGTGTGATGGCGTGGATGTGGCAGGGGAGTGTGGACAGTCAGGAGGAGACTGCAGTGCCTGTGGTCAGTACCTGTGCCTGAGCATGGGTCAGAGTTAGGACACTGAGCCCTAAGAGCAGGCTGCTGCCATGCTGGAGGAGTGCAAAGGAGCCTTTGGGGAGTGCAGGGAGCTGCTGGGGCTGGTCTATATGTGAGCTTTTCTCAGAGAGGAATAAAACAAGGAGCTGCTTGATGGTGCTGTATGGTTTTACCTTCTCTGAACTGAGCGAAGATCCCCACACAGGCAGGAGGAGTGGAGCACGATGGGGGCAGTCAGCAGTCTGGAGGGTCACAGGAGCATTTGGCAGAGAGTGAAAAACACTGAGGGCCAGAGGAGAGATTTTCCCCTCTTATTCCCCTCACCAGGGACAGTACAGCTCTGCAGCACCAGACAGGGAGGGCAGAATGAGCCCCTTCCCCTCCATCAGCTATCAGATGCAACTGGAGAAACCCAGTTGCTCAGATCCCCGTGGTCCCTATATGCAAACCTTTGCCTGAGGTGCTGCTGGCTTTGGCACTTACATGCAGTGCAGTAGAACCATCAACTCCCAGCATCCGCTTCCTCTCTGTATCTGCCTGACCCTCTTCTAAGGAAGGCTCACTGCTCCTCCCACACCAGCTCACGGCTGGAAACCTATTTGATCTCCCGCTGCCCGTCACCCTTGCACAGATGCTCAATTACAGCTTCTTAATCTCCTCCTTTCCTCTGCTCCTCCCAGCTGTGTTTGTCTGGCTTGGTGTCAGTGCACTGGCCATTCCTGGGGGACCGGAGCAGAGTGTGGAGGGGCTGGGCAGCACAACAGGAGCTGATGAAACATCCAGGTCTGAGCAGGCAGCATTGTGCATATGCTCCTGTGACTAGATCCTTCTGGAGCTGAATGGCTTTGTGCTTGATATTTTGAGGTGGAAAGATTGCTTCCAGAGCTTGGATGTTGTGGACAAAACCAGCTGTAGTTTTTTTGTGGCTTGGTGGCAATATACTTGATCACAAGAATGAGTCCAGCTCCCTTTCCTGGGAACAAGATTCCTTTCATCTGCTGGCATTGTCTTCCCTGGCACAGCCCGGTCACCCTCTTTCTGGATTTGAGGTGCAAAACAGTCAGCAGCATTAGCTTGGTTTAATAGCATGCAGCTGGGTGTGGGGGATGGTGAATGCACATTCACATCCGTAAAACACATCTGCAGATGTTAAAGAGGTCTCTTCTGCCTTGTCCTGCCAGAAAGCCGTCCCAGAGGTGGCTGCTCCTGGGGCTTCTACAGGAATGGTAAGAGTGTCAAGTGGTGCTGCACAGCCAGGGAAATGCTGGTGGATGGGCAAGATCAGCCTGCACCCTGCCTTGCTTACCTGTATCTGGCTTTGCTGCACTTCTCTTGAAGCCAGCTGGCACTCTGGGGGAGTCAAGCTGCCAGCTCTTGGCCTGCTGAAGTAATCAGGGTGAGATTTTTGAGCAGCATGTGAAGGCTAATGAATGAAAATCATTTGGTGTGTGTAACAGCACCACATCTTCTGAGCCCTCTGTACGAAGCTGTTTGTTCATAACAAATGTTATGACAGGCTGGAGCAGTTCCTCTCCTTTAATCAGAGGAGAGAGTGGCATAACAAGTGCTTTTCCGCTGCTTTAATATAATGATAGCGGCTTATGAGTAAAGTAGGCTTTTAGGGCTGTGTTTGTGCTTGTACAGCTGAAGCATTGATGTTCCCTGGGTTGGAAATGTCCCTGTTGTCACGTGCTCAGATGGGTGGGTAGGCTGCACTTCACCTCATTTACAGGACAAAACATTCAGGGCTCCAGGGTTTAGAAACTTCTGTGTTGGGCTGGACCCAGACCAGCATTGGAGACAGGCTTGGCCTTTCTGTGGGGCTGACAAGATGATGAACCAAGACCAAGCCTGGCATCTAGGACATGGGGCAATTCAGATCCCCAAGCCCAGAAATGGGTGTGAGGCTCCCTCTGTACTGCTTAGGGAAACCTGGGGCTTAGTAGTGCTTTGTGCTCAGTCCCACATGTCTCCTGGGACTCAACATCACCTTATGATGGGTCCAAGACATCTTCTGGAACCAGCAGCAGACCTTGCAGATGGGTGTTGGTCATGCTCTGAGCAAGGTGCTCAGTGACCATAGTTGCAGTGTTCATGGAAGAAGGTGTCACACTGTGCTGAGCAGCTTCAGGAGGAGCCTTTTGGGTGGTGGAAGCTCTGAAGGCTCGTGAAAAATTCAGCCACTTCCAGATTTGGTTGGAAATGGAGCTGAACCACATCCTGCTTCTGGTGCTTGAGCCCTTTATTGGATCTAAGCTCAAGCCAAGTGATTGGGAGCAGTAGCCATCTCATAAGCTTCTTATGAGGATGAGCCACTGAAGGAACAAAAATCTGTGGCTCATTAAAGGAGAAGCATATGGCTGGAGGGAGGCCAGCCCAGTCCCTCTTCCCATGATGTCTTGGGCAGGTGAGGCATTTCCTTGATGGTCTGCAGATGTTCAGAAGAGATTTCTGCCCTCCTCAGTTTCCTTTTGGAACAGCATGTGGGCTTTTGTTTCAGGGCCTTGATCCCTTGCTCCTCAATGACCAGTTCTTCTCACTTTCTTTCCCTCTAGGATCATGGATCAAGACACACAGGGTATGCTCAAGTCTCCAGTGCCCTTCCTACTAGGGCACAGCCTCTCCAAGGATGGCATGGACTCTTTCAGCAAGCATTTTGAGACCATTATGGAGTCCCATCGAGCCAAAGGCACATCTTACACCAGCCTGGACTCCATTGACATCCTTTCCTCCCCGGCCCGCACCCATGGGACCTTTTTCACTTTTGACCTCCCAACTCTCACCCCAGAAATACAGGGACAAATCCGAGACAGCGCCAAGCTGATTGAGGAGAACTTTGCTCCTCTGGCTCATTTGGAGCCAGACTCTGGGACCAGTTCAGCCACGGATGCCCCCTGGACAGAGAGGGAGGAGGAGCGGGGGAGAAGACGGAAGGGTGCTCGGCACAGCCCTTGCCACTCAGTGGACAGCTTTGGTACTCCCTTGGCCTCCAACACAAGGTGAGTGACCAAAATTGCTTGCTGTCCAGCTGGACCACTACAGCTTGATGTGGAGCCTAATGCTGAGGTCTGTTTTGCAGCCAGAGTCTGACTTGTGTTGTTGGGGAAGTGTCAGGACTGTGTGTGCTGGATTTTCTGGGCAGTGGCTGATCAAGCCAGTGATCACCATAGTGTTGTGGTAGGCGTGTTGATGGGAACACAGCTCCTTTTTCATTTTTGCCAGCTTTTTAGGTGCAAGAGGGCTGTAAGGTTTCCTCCAGCCAAGCAAGCAGGGAGTCCCAGGACTTCAATCCTGTGGTGGTTTCCATTGCAGGACAGTCCAGCATCCATGGTGGCTCTGGGGAGAGGCCAGTCAGAATTTAACTAAGTAGAAATCTGACAGCCTTTCCCTACTGGGGGCTGTATCCCTTGCTATCTGAGTAGCAGCCTCTTGTTTCTTGAGCTGTTGTCCTGGCCTCCTGAACCTCCTCAGCCTTGTTTATTTTGGGAGATGAAGGGCAGAGATGAGCACAGCCCACCAGAGGCTCCCTGTACATTGCTCCAAGCCTTCATGCACCTGGGCTCAGGATGGCTGCCCCTTGTGCTGGGGGCAGCAATGAGTGGGCTGGGGGAGCTCAGCCCCACCACTTCCAACCTGTCCATATGTAAGTCCATGTCCAGGCTGAGACACCTTCCTGCACTCTTCCCTCTTCCAGCAAGGTCTTGTGCTGAAGCACTTGTGATGTGGCAGTTTGATAGGCTGCATCTTTTCCACTCTCATCTGGGGTGTGGACAGGTCTGGCTTGGATGTCGGATCCAGTCCAGTGGTTTAGCTGCAGAGTTGGTGGCTATTGAAGTACCTGGTGTCTCATTCATGCCAGTGCTGACCTTCCTGTTTTCATTGCCTCCCTGCAAGGTCTCTCTGCTCAGTGACCTTTTGTGCAATGCCAGAGCATCCTGAATCCCTCATCTACTTTCTAGGCTGAGGCTTTGGTCTTTTCACCACCAAACTGATGTGACTCCTGGTCACAGTCTGTGCCATCCTTGTAGGCTTGGGTTTGTGCTGTAAAACCGGTCATGTCTGGGAGATACGAGGCAGTGAAGGGTGGCGGTATCCAGCCGTGGTCAGTGCTCTCTGCAGGAAGAATTGCTTCCTATTCCTCTGTCAAGGCAAGGGACTGAAACAGAGCACCCTGGAGAAACTGAGAGGACAGTATCTGACTTACTGTCCGTGGGATGCCATTGTACCACAGCAACAGCACCACAGGGGCACAGGGACATGTGAGGGTGCAAAGACACAGCTAGCAACAGGGATGACAATGAGGTGGCTTAACAGAGGTTATTCCTCACTGGTTTATAGTCAGTGGAGCCCAGAGCATGCCGACAGTGCTGAGGACTCTGCAGCACTGTGCTTCCCTCCTAGCTCAGGCTTCAGAGCAGTGCTGGGCACAGGCTGTGGAGGGGTATTGTGTATCCCCTAAGCTGCCCTATATCTTTTCTGAGCCCACCTTTGCTGAGCCTCTTGTCTTCTCTTCTTCCAACAGGACTACTTTTGGTGGCAGGGGAACGTAGGGGAAACCCAGCTGCAGCCCCCACTGTGCTCCCTGGACTGGGGACTCCAAGGCTTGGTCTTCCCATTGTACCATAAGCTCACTTCTGTTACACACGCACGCAGAGTCCCAGGCAACTATCCTTCCCCATTTAGAAACAATTCCCTTGGTTATCAGTAGGTCCCTGCATAGTTCTTAATTTTTTCCAGGTCAGGCCCTGTTTCTTGCCAATCTCCTAGGCTACAGATGATGTTCAGACCCACCATGCTGCCCTGCAGCGGGTGAGCCAGTGCCCTGGCTCCAGTAGAGGCTGCAGGAAAGATGATGAGAAATGAGATGTGGGAGAACAGAACCCAGCAAGGAGCAGCCCAGCTCTCTGCTCCCTGGTGTGGAGTGAGCCTCCCCTCATAGTCCCCATAGGCAATGGGGAGAGAGGCAGGTGTGGTTGGGATTTGCCATCTTGTGCAGTGGAAAGGAGTGGAGATTGGGACTGGGAACAGAAACTAGGCTGAGAAGGCATGTGGCACCAGGGTCTGAGACAGCCCATCATCTGCAGTCAGTACTCAGGACATAGGGCTTTCTGGCAAGGGAGAAGTCCAAGAAGTTTCCTCTTCCACATCACTGGTGCCATCAACTTTCTAGACTCTGAGTGGAGCCGACCACAAAGCTGAAGCTTTCCACTTAGTTTGAGGAAGAAGTGTCTGTGCTGATTGCTCAAAGGTTCTCATGGGCTGGAACCAGCAGACCCTGATGTCTGGCAAGGCTGATCTTCTCGAGCAGAGAGTATCCTTGTAATGCTCCCACTAAGGGGTAGTTAATGGAAATTGCTGAGGAAAACTAAGGAACCTGTGCAGCCACTGTAATGCAACATTACCCGTGCCAGCAGGACCAGAGCAAGGCATTAGCCACTGCCCAGAGTCACTGCAGAGTCACAAGCAGTATAGACTGGCTGCCGCCAGTGCAGATGAGGCCTTGGGCAGGGGGACTCTGTGGTGGAGACTGTGCTTTACACTGTCTGTCAGTCTCATGGTTGGCAGAGGTGACTTCAGGCTGCAGGGCTTTGGTATGAGTGATGTGGTGGCTGGTGATGAACACCAGTGGGTCTGGACCTGTGCTGACCTGCAGTTGTCCTCCTTGTGCCCCCTAAAATCTTTGGTGTTCATTGTTGCAATGCTTGGGGTTGGGGTCTGGGCTGGAGATGGCCCTGCATCCTGTGGCTTTTTGCCTCTCTTGGTGTCAGGGATGGCCAAGTCGGTGATGCCCCTGCATTGCTGGGGAAGTGTGGTGTCCCCTGCAGCCCATGGCCTTGGTTCACACAGCCTTGTTGCTCATGCCAAGGCTCTGGTGTCCCTCGGCACACAATAGTCTGAGACCACGCTTTTATCTTGACCTTGTATGTGGAAAGTATGTCTAAGTGCAGACCCAGAGACGCCTCCCTGGGTGCTGGGATGCATGCACCTACTGCAGCAGGCTAGATTGAAAAGGAGGGAGCAGTGGCTGAACACCCTCGCCGCCCCCCCCCGCCCCACGGGGCACCCCACAGTGGTGGGCACACCCCAGCATGGGGCAGAGGCTCTGTGAGTCGTTTATCACCCCATTTGGGCAGGAGGTGAAGGTGTGCATGTCCCCCACTCTGGCTGAGCAGAGGGCTGCAGTTAAAGCAGTCTGTTCCTGTGGCTATGACATTGACCCACAGAGCATGTGTGGAGGCATAGCCCCCAAGGGCTGGTGGGGTTCCCTCCGGACAGGCGAGGCTGGCCAGGGACAGATGCAGTGCTGGCGAGATGTCGGGGCAGGAGCCGGGACAACCCTGGGGACTGCAGGGAGTCGCTTCTGCGGTGGCAGCCAGACTTCTGCAACTGCAGGTCCAAATTGCAAGACTTGGCCAAGCTGCCAGGTGCAGGCAGGTGCCCAGAAGATCACCTGGCTTGCCCAGTCCTGTACACGGGCAGCCGGGGCTGCCGGCCCACAGGCAAGGCAACGCAGGCTCTGGGGCATCAGCCCCGAAGGGATGTAAATGGGCAAACTGCATCTCTCTGGGAGAGTAAGCCCCCTGAAATCCAGCTGCCCAACTTCCATCCCACTCCCCTGGAGCCAGCCTTGGCCCGGGCACAGCCGTGCCGGTCCCTGAGGGGTGCCCGCGGAGGGAGGGGACGTGACACGCCCCCCGAGCGGGGCAGGCTCTGCCGGGACCTCATCGGGGCACGCCTGCTGTGGGACAGGAGGAAGGGCAGGCAGGAGAGGCAGCATCGAAGACGGGGCTGCAAACCGCCTGGGGAAAAGGGCCAAGCAGCACGGCGAGGGGCAGCACTGCGAGGGGCAGCACGCCCGGAGCCTCGCTAGAGGGAGAGCTCATCCTTGGAGCTGCGGCTGCGTGGGAGCAGCGGGGAGCCCGCGGGGTTGGGGCTGCCCCGGGCGGAGGATGCGCCGCCACTCGGAGCTGCGTCCCTGCCAGACCGCGGCCGCTGGCGAGTGCTGGAGCGCGGGGCTTGCCAGACAGCTCCGCTGCTGTTCTTTATAAGGTCCCTTTTGTTACTGCAGCGGTCGTGTAGCCGGTGCCCCTCCCGGGGCCAGCGCAGGTCTATCCTCTGGCCTGGGCTCCCAGGTGGCACGGGGCAAACTGGTGAGATGGTGCCCAGAAGGGCTATGCCCAGTTTGGGGCCCCGTGGGGTGGATTCAGGGTGTGATGCTAGAGGTTGAGGGTGAGAGCTGAGCAGAGAAAGGAGGGCAATGAGGAAAGCACGGAGATAGGGGAAGGAAGGTATGGGATGGGCTGGAGTGGGAACACAGTAGAGGAATAAGGCTAGAGAACAGGATGAAGCACAGCACAAGCATTGGCACAGCAAGAAATTAAGCACAAGCCTTGGGGGGGTTTCCCCCATGCATTTCCATGTTGAGCCATGAAGGCCAGCAGGAGCCAGGACATAGGACGCATTAGCCCTCCATGGCATAGAGGATGGGGACAGTGGATCCCAGGGATGGCAGTCTGCCTGCAGACACATGAGCAGCAGCACATACCTGTGGGATGCAGCCCCATGTGTCAGGTGTTAGTTCAAGTTTTCAGATCTGACTCAGAGCCCCTAGGCTGGGCTTGGCCCAAGAGTCTGTGTCATGGGTTGAGGTGGCTGGGTTTTTGGTAGCGGGTGGGGGGGGGGCTACATAGGGTGGCTTTGATTAGAGACCCAGGTTTTCCTGCGCTGACCCTATGGCATCTGTGTCTCTGAAAGAGAAGACAACCGTCCACCCAGCAGGTGAGTAACTGGATTTTAAGGCTCTCAGCTGGCTCCAGAAATTGTTTGGTGGGATTGCAGTGTCAGTCCCTGTCCTCTGCAGGAGTGGTTGCGCCCCTCACAAGAGGAACTGGTGGGATGGGGTGATGGAGGACAGGTATACATCTCCAGAGAGGGCTAGTGCTGCAGGGGAGGTTCTGGAAGTCTGCAGAGAAACAGGACTGAGGAGGGGCACAGCTGCCCAAAGTTCAGTCCTACATGGATCTGTCAGCAGTAACACTGGTGAGTACTGCTCTGGCTGGGTGATTTAAGGACCATGTTGGACTCAGCAGCTGCCAGAAAGCAGCACCAGCCCCGCCTATGGTTAGAGGCTGGCCTGGCTGACCTTCAAGTGTCCTCCCAGCCCTAACTTCAATTCTGCGAGGAATGAACCAGCCCAGATCTTGGCTGTCATAAATCAAAGTCGCTCCACTGAGACCGATGGAGGGAGCTGCGTTTATTTAGCTCAGCCAAAGATCCGGTCTGGTACATTCTTAGTAGCAACATTAGGCAGGCTGGGTTCACTTGGCGGAGGCATTGGGCATCCAGCCCTGCATATGGGGCTTTGGGAACTGAGAGCAGAGTGCTGCTCTGCCCTATGCATGTCTCTTGTGGACTTGCACCAGGCTCCTTGCCTTGTCCCTTCATGGTGCAGGATGAAACCAGCCTCATCTGGGGAGCAAGAGGCATTTGGATTGCGGTTGAAGGTCTTGCATTTCCTACAGCAGGTGTCTCACCTGGAAATGTGTCAGGCAGGATTTGGACAGCCTAGGAGCTCAGCTGAGCACCCCCAGCTGAAACCAATGACTACTGGTTCCAGCCTGTTTCCAGGGAGTCTCTCCTCTCCAGCTCCCAGGGACAGATTGTTGGTGCAGGAAGGATCCCACCATGCAGGTACAGTGTGGGAAGAGTTCCACCATGCAGATACATTGCTGCTGGCAGCCAGGAGCTGGAGGTCAGCTCCCAGTCCTAGTTTTGCAGAGCTAGTGCCTTATGGCTGCTTCACATCCAGGGGAGAAGATTTGCTCCTGGTTGGTGGCAGCCATGTGGTGCTGAGTGAGTTTAGTTGATGGTGTCAAGGTGGAGAGGATATCAGGACTCCTGCAGTGACACAGTGCATTGCAACCAGGGAATGTGCTGTGGTCTGTGCTGCTGGGCTCCAGGATGTTGGCCAGAGAAGTATGGGGGTAAGATGATGAACCAGCTCCAGGAAAGAAAGGAGTGTTTAGCCCTGAGAAGGAACATTTGGGCCCTGGACAAGCATCTGGCCTGGGAGAAGGAGTGTGTGTGGTGTGGTGGCCCTGAGCAGGACCATGGTCCTGCAGCAGCTCCCCAGGGCTGGAAACACACCATGGTCCTGCTGAGCTAGAGTGGGAGATGGTCAGTGAAGAGCCTCTGTCCCAGGGCAAGCCCTGATCTGGACTACGTGCCTCCCTTGCAGAGCCCTCCAGAAGTGCCTCGCTGTGGCTGACATAGCGTGTCAGGGGACTTGGGCTCTCTAGCAAACACCTCTGAGGTGACAGGAGGACCTGTGCTCCAGATGACGTGAGTGGTGGCAGCGGGGAGAGGGATGAGCCAGCACTGGGTCTGCTCGGGCATGACTTATCTCAGTCTGAGGATACTTGTGCAATACTGAATTTGATCTTTGTTCCTTAAGTGTGTACCTAATGTAAAAACTATTATCTCAGTGTTTCTTCAAGCCAAACTAGAATGTCACTTTACAAAGTACAGTAAAACAACCACCCTGAGACATTAGCTCATTGGCAAGAAAATTAGCATCATCTCACCTGCCTCAGACATGGACATGTCTCTTGCTCTGCTCTCCATTTGCTTGAGGATTGGCCTCTTGGTTTTCTCTCTGTTAAGCTGCACATTCTCCAAGCCAGCTGGGGCATTGAGTGGTGACAGACAGGTGCCACAAGGGGGGCACTCTGAGTCTGTTGAGGCTGATTGTCCATATTTAACAGCATGAGAGTGGCTTGAGTGTTGGAAGAAAACCTATTTCATGGCACGGTTGGGTTGTGCCTCATTCTGAGAGCAAGGTTATATTTTATGATGTAAAACCCCAAATCAGTGTGGAGACTTGGTGAAGGAGGGAACAGCGGATCCCGCTGGTAGAGCTACTTTGAGACTCAAGCCTTGAGATCACTGCATGCCCATTACAAGAAGCAAGGCAAGAATTGCAGTCGCAGGTTGGGAGCCTGCAGGGACATAGAGGTTTTGAAGGACAAGACAGATTTTGTAAGTGGCCCCATGCCTGGATGCTCAGCACTAGGTAGAAAAGCTGAGGACCACAGATTGGGAATAGAGGTCATGGGGGAAGACTCAGAGCTCTGGGTTTGTCCCTGGGGGCTTCAGGAACCAGCCATGTGAGGGAGGACAACTCTCAGGCAGGACAGGTGAGGTCCAAAAGCATATCAGGAGTTTTAGTGATGGTGGTTGAGAAGAATTAAAAGATCTTCAGAGGGTGACTGAGCAGCCTCCTGCTCTGGAGGTGCAATTGGGGCACAGGTGGCTTTGGGTTTTGTAGCTCAGCCTCTGGCTGGAAAAGCACCATTGGAGCTGCTGGGCTGGGAAGGGAACAGTGCCTGTGCCCTTGTGATAGCAGATGAAGAGTTTTAGCAAAAAATACAGTCATCGCAGCCCATGGCTGGCAGGTGCCAGTTGCTGGAATGAATTCATCTCCTCTGCTTCTGGGAAGAAAAGAGCCTGTGATCTCTATCCTTGGTTGAGGTCACAGTGACTGCAGCCACACAAGGAGCTGAAGTGGGCCTGAGGTGTGTGCCCAGCACTGGCCCAGCAGCACCCAGCCTGTTCTGCTGTCAAGCACTCAAGTCAGCTTTGGCTCTGCCAGACAGCGTAGGCACAGCTGGAGGGCAGCAGGCACCAGGGCCCATGCCAGCTGCACCTTTGGATGTGGCTCTATTTTGGGAGGAGAAGAGTTTTTTAGGCAGGTTGGAGGTTTGTACACAGGATGGGGTGTGCTGGTGATGCGGACAGGGATGCTGGAAGCTGCCTGCCCAGCACAGCTCCTCAGAGCAGGTGGACTCAGACCTGGTGAGCTGCTAGTGACCTTGTGACCACTCTCATGGCTGCTTCCCTCAGGATGGCATGGGGTGACGGATAGGCTCCCTGGAGAGGACTGAAGCCAAGTGGGCACAGATCTGCCCTGGGCCACCCATCCACATCTTACCATAATCACCGCCTGGTGCTGCTGAGCTCAGCAGTGGTCCGAGCAAAGTGCATCTCCCCAAGGACTTGCAGAATGTTGGAGCTGCTTTTGCCAGGGAAGTGCCTGACCCACGGGTTTGAGTGCAGTGCAGCTTCCCCCACTGCACATCAGCTGGGGGAGCCCCCCAGGATGCTAACACGCCTGTCAGTGCTGTGGAGGGCTCCCCTGGGATAGGCACCACTGAGCAGAAAGGAGGCTTGTCCTTCTTGAAAGAAGCAGAGCCTCAAGGAGATTGGCCTGGGTAATTGGCTCAGGAGAGCAGGCCTCTTAAAACTCAATTAGAGACTTTTAAAAATAAATCAGACTGGAACATTGCAAGGGCTGCCAGAAAATTTGGGCGAGGTCAGAGTTGCTTAACGTTCCTTGTTGATTAGATTCAACCAGCTTTTAGTTGGGATAACTTCTGCATGGCTGAGTCAGATTGCTTTGGGGGCCAAGCCAAGAGTGTCTCCTAACGTGGCCATTTAAGGCATGGTGGGCTGAGAGCTGATGGGTAGCCTGGAGAAGACAGTACACTCCACTGTGAGCTGGGAGGCCAGGGGGGTGTAGTGCTTTGAAGTGAGTGAGTGGGAAAAGGTGAACAAAGAAATTACAGTTGTCTTGTCTCGGGTAGAAACTGTGCTTGAGAGCAGTACGAGGAGTTTGTCCAGATTAAAAAACGAGTGTGGATCTGTAGGACAGCATGTGATGTGCACATGTTTCTGCTCCAAGTCTCCGCTACAGCTGAGCTTGGCAGAGCCTGAGCCCACACATACAGTTTCACAGGCTCAGAGTGGGGGACTTTGGAGCAGTTGTACATCCAGTTTGGATGTGGATTTGGGTGTCTTGATCCTGTCATCCTGGAGCTGTTCCATCACCCCACCTCTCCTCCAGCTGCATCCCCAAACCTTCCTTTAGCTCCCAGTCCCAACCTTGGAGTGCGTCTGACCAGTGTTATTCATCCTGGGTCCCAGCAGTGAGTAGTGAGTCTCCAAAGCAGGGTGAGGAATCTGCATTTCCTGAGAAGCTGAACAAGCAGAGGATCTGTAGGCAGGCTAATGTGGAGTGCCCCTTTCCATTGCAGTGACCACCCCCAGAGCCAGCTGGTTTCAGACTCGGAGTCGGAGATGGACAGCGTGGAGCATCTGGTCCTGGGCAGCACGGACACCCTTTCCAATGGGCACAAGGCTGACCTGGAGGCCGCCAAACGCCTGGCCAAGAGGCTCTACAACCTGGATGGCTTTAAAAAAGCAGATGTGGCTCGCCACTTGGGGAAGAAGTACGTGTGGGTATTAGCAAGGAATGTTCCGTTGTGCAAGGGTCTCACCTGCGCCTGTGGTGCACCCACAGCTGCTGCCCTTGCGGGGTGCCAGACTGGCAGGGACCAGCTGGCAGGCCCTCACAGACCACTCCCCATGACTGCTACATCTGCAGCAGGTGTTACCTCTGAAGGTCTTAAAACCTAAGAGACATCCAGATTTTGGTACCTTCCTATCATGACTGCATCTTGGATGCTTCAGTAGGGGGTTAGGGTAGGGGGATGGCTAGCTGACCTCTCGTGGGCCCTTCCAGCTCTAGTTTTTCCATTTTCTCTTACATACCCAGTATTCCTGTTGGATTTGTGGGTGACTTCTCTGAGTTTCATGGGATTGTGGGGTGTGTCTGTCCTCAGCACACCGTCTGCAACCCTGGGGAGTTCCCAGCCTCCTAGAATCCACCCAACTCCTGTGTGCCTTTGGCTGTCCCCACAGTTTGGTTGATCCCACTCTTACTCTCCCCCTTTTCTATTTCAGCAATGAGTTCAGCAGGATGGTGGCAGGGGAATATCTGAAGTTCTTCGTGTTCACGGGGATGAGCCTGGACCAGGCTCTCAGGTCAGAGCTGAGTTTATGTACATGTGCATGTGTGTGGTGGCCACCAGAGTGAGGTCCCAACAGACCGTGCCCTCTGCAGCTCTGCAACCACACAGAGATCTGCACGAGCAGGCTGAACCCATGACTCCCCAGCTGGAGATCCTCTTACCTCTTAAACAGGAGAGGGTGATTCCCAAGGTGATCTCTCAGCCACACAATCAAAAAAGAGCATCCCCAGTCTTAACTCAATGGTCAGTGCAGTTGGATGACAGTCAGGTTCACCTAGGCCTGGCTTTTCAGGTCTTGAACTCGAATCCTTCTGTTGTTACCCCCACCTCCTTTCCCGGTGTAGCTCCTGGGACTGGCTGTAGGTCTCTGCAATGTGCCAGCAGGATATGGTGCTGTGGGTTTGGAGGAGAGTCCCACAGTGGGTTGGGAGGGAGGGATGTGAAACAGTGGGGCTTCATCCAGCACACAGGGGGGTCTCCAAACCAGAAAGAACAGTTCCATTCCTGTGCAAGGGGGATTGGAGAAACTGCTGGTGGGCTTCATGTGTGACCAACACTGCTGCTGCTTTTTCAGGTCCTTTCTAAAAGAGCTGGCCTTGATGGGAGAGACGCAAGAGCGAGAGCGAGTGCTGGCTCATTTTTCGCAGCGCTATTATGAGTGTAATCCCAATGCCATCCCTTCAGAAGGTAAGAAACTGTACATGTCTGTGTGTGTGTGTGTGTGTATTTCAAGGGAGTCTGTGTGTTTGTCAGCTCAGTCGAGATGCTCAAACTGAAACTAGAGAGCAAACTGAGAGCTTATACTGACACCTTAGAAGATAGCCCTGGTTACGGAGATGTCATTTCCCTCAAATGACAGCTGCTTAGATTATTTTTTTTTAAACCTGCTTTGGTTGGATGATGCATAATTAGGACTCAACCCATCCTTACTTCTGACCTTGAGCAGATTAGCACAGGAAGCAAGAGATGGCCCTCCTCACCAAATAGACCTCAGCTCTCAGACCCTCAGCTCAGGGAATATCCAAGTGAGAAAACTCATGTACCTGGCACTTGGGGAGCACAGATACTCACTTTGTACTGTTTCATGTCTTTGCATCTCTCCTGTGTGTGCTCACTTGCTGAGTCTGCTCTGGGCTGGCTCTGGGACAGGTGAGGTTTGGGTTGCCTGGCTGGCAGAGGGCTGTGCTGGTCCTATCTTGCCATGCTAGTAGCTCTACAGGATTAACTACAGCATCACTGCCTGGCTGTAGGGGCTGCAGGGTTGGAAGGGAATTTGTATGCTCAGGTTTGGGGCCAGCTTTAATTCAGCGACCTCCTACCTACTTGCCCTCACGCTGTCATCACTACACTGACTGCTGTGTGCTCCTTGTGCCCGGGGCAGGAGGAAGGGGCTCAGGCCTATTTTGGAGGCTCAGAGCCCCCATGCCCTGCCTGAGATGCCAAGGATCTGGAGCACCAGCTGCAGGGCTGAGCTGGGGGCTCTAATTCCTGTCCTGTGCTTGTGCTGCAGATGGAGCCCACACCCTCACCTGTGCCCTGATGCTGTTAAACACAGATCTGCATGGACATGTAAGTTAACACTGCCATTGTCCCAGTCTGTCCCTTGTCTGAGCCCATCACCCTGAACCATAGGTGCTGGGGCAAGAGTGAGGACTTACAAGGACAGAGCCACGTGAGCAGAAGGCATGGGACCCTGGGTCCACAAGCACTGGTCATCCTTAATGTGTCTGGTGAGGAGAGAGGAGACAGGCTGAATGAGAGGAGGAGCTGGTGAAGGAGAGAGGGGGGCTTTGGGGGAGACTTGATGAGCTGGAAAATGTAGAGGTGGGATGAGGACAGAAGAGAAAAGTGGACAGGGAGGGAAGGTGGGAATGAGACTCCAAAACCAGCTGCCATCGGGAGTGGGGAGACTATTTCAAATTCTTGGAGTCTATGTAAAGACAGCAGCTTCCCCATACCTGCAAGCAGCCTCCCTGATACCTGGCTGGTCCCTCACCCCTCTGCAGAGATGGGTGTCTGTTCCTGGGCTGTGGGACCTGCTCCAGCCACTATTGATCTCTGTCCCAAAGGTAACTCCCACATTTCTCTCCCCCTGGCTCCCCCAGAATATTGGGAAGAGAATGTCCTGCTCTGACTTCATTGGCAACTTGGAGGGACTCAATGGAGGCACTGACTTCCCCAAGGATTTGCTCAAGGTAAATTCAATTGTTCTCCCTGGCCAGCCAAGCAGGAGGAGCAAAAGTGAGAGCTTTGGGCTGGATCACATGGGAATGCTATGAATCACACTTGGATCACACTGGGATGCTATGAATGCAAGATGCATTACCATGCAAGAACAGTGGTGGTCCCTGGGCCTACAGTTTTCCCCCGCCTTGCTGAGGGGAACATGGGCTGTCCTGTTTCCCCAGAGGAACACCGGAGCTCCGGTTGGGATCCTGATTCCCTCACTGCTCTTGCTGTGCCAGTATCACAGGCAAGGGAGCTTACTCTCACAGACGTGGGGCAGCTTGCTAAGGTTGGTTTGCCCAGCTGCAGCCAGAGGCTTCATGGCATCATCACAATGGTACTCAGCCCTTCCTGACTCCCTGAAGCACTGGAGCCCAAAGCTTTGGCCAGGCCCTGGGACTGGAGCCATCTCTGGTGGTAGAGGTGACATGGGCAAGGCATAGAAGTGGGGATGGTGGGCTGCAGGTTAAAGCTTCGAAGCTGGGAACTCACCACACTGGTGTGACTGAGGGTATCCTGCCTTCTCCCTGCCTAACCCTGTTCCCAGAGGGACTTGGCCAGGGAGGGCAGTGTTAAGCAAGCACCTCTGGCTTTGGACTGCTGTGCTTCTCTGGCATCGCCTGTTCTCAGGATGGTGTTCTGCGCTGCTGTCTTCCTGTCTTAGGCTCTGGGAATAGGCTTAGATCCCATGGGGTCTGCCAGGCAGAAACCGTTGCTGTTGGGGAAGCGCTACAGTTGGAAAATACTCATGATGTGGAAAATGGGTTCCCACAGGGTGCTGGAGCCACAATGGGGGGAGGTGGTTGAGGAAAAAAGGCAACAGAGGGTGAAAAGCTGAGCTCCCTTTTCAGCCTCTGTGGGTCTATTCCTGGCTGTGTCGCTCACCCCATCATTAAGGGGTTACCAGCAGTTCTCAATAGGGCTGTCCTCCCTCTCAGCCCACGCTTTGCCAGTAAAAGGAGTTACTCAGGAAAAATTCTCCTATCATTTTAAACCCAGCTCCAGAAAAGGCTTTAAGCACCCAAAATGGATGGAAACATCCAAAATGTGGACCCTGAACCCCTGCCCTTCAGTGCTGCTGCACTTTGGAGTATCCAAGCTCCACAGACTCCTTAGTGCACGCCCTTTGCAGCCCCTGGTGCCCCACAGTGGGCTACCTGCACTTGAGGCATTGCCCTATTCCTGTTAAACTTCACCCCTAAAAGTACCAGCAGTTTAAACATGTGAGATCGTTACCCCGTCAGATCACTGGGAAATAGGATAGTGAGGAAGTGCCACAAAGCTACAGGCTTTCTCTTATAGGCAGGGGCCAAGACCTTTGCTGGGTGTAAGGGAGTGGGGGAGGCTGCAGTGCTGCAGCACAGCCCCGCACGGCTCTGCCCGCGGCCCAGCAGCTGGGAGGCTGCTCTGCTAAAAATGGCCTGTTCCCTCTGCAGCTGCGGTGCTTCCCACCGCCGCTTTTCAGCCGCCTCTGTACAGGAGCCATGCTGGGAAGGGGGAGTAAAAGGCAGTGTGAGAAACCTCACATGGGGCAGGCTGCAGCTCCTCACCTGAAACACCATTCCACTTGGGGAACCCCCTGCCTGTGCAAGGCGGAGTGGGGCCGCAGGGCAGGTGAGATGGGGAAAGTACTGTTGGCTTGTGCCAGGGGGAGGACTGGCAAGGAGGGCCTGTGCCTCTCTTGGGCAGCCTTTGCCAGGCTCAACCAGAGAAGACCCTCTTTCCCTTCTGCCCAGTGCTTTTGGCTGCTTGGTGCTCTGGTCCCCACACAGGCTGAGGGAGCAGACAAATAGGGACAGGCTCACTAGCCCTGTTACCCTGGGTAGGATGCTACCTCCTTGGCAGACCTAGCTGGCGGGCTGTGCTTGGGGACTGAGGCTCCTGTGCAGGCGTGCCACACAGCTGTCTGGCTAATTTTAGTGCTCCAGGAGCACACGCATTTCCTAAGGGTAGCAGGAGAGAGGAAGGGCTGGCAGGCTTTGCAGAAGCTTCCCAAAGCTCAAGGCTGGGTCTTGGGCAGCTCCAGCAGCACAGAATAAAGGTCCTGGGGGCTCTTCCAAGCCTACCTAGGTAGATAGTGCAAGCTGCTACAGCACGAACTTCGAAGCTGGAGAGCTGGAAGTGGCTCTCGTCCACAGGGAATCTCACCACCCGGGAATGGGGGCAGCAAGACAGGACCTAGGTGGCTGCAGGGGCACAAGGCCGCTGTCCCCTTTGACTCTGGGGACACCATCAGGAATAGACCCACAGGGAGCCTGAGCACTCCTCTTGTCTCTGGCTGCAGGGGGAGTCCCAAGACAAACACAGCGTGATGCCTGAGAGCTTGTGGCAGCTTGAGTCAGATGAGAACTTTATCTGCTACTAGCTAATACATGTAAACAATCCCAGTTTTATGCAGAAGCAATGAAAACACTTTAAGAGCTTTCACAGCTGAGCACCACATCCCCCTCACTGACAGTGCTTCACCATACCCTGCACAGCACTGCTGCTGGAGCTAAGGCAGTGATGCCTTACTGGCACTGCTGCTGGAAACCCTTTCCTGTGGCTCTGGAAGCTCCTCTGGAGAACTATACTGTGCAGAAATGGCTGCCCTCCCTCCCTCAGACATGGAGCCATGCCAGGGATATAAGAACCCATATAATGCCATGCCTGAAGATGCCTGCATCTGCAGGCTTGGACCTGAACTCCTGTGTCCGTATGAAGGCACTGCCCATACAGAAGGAAGGAGGTGAAGCAGGTCATCCTGGAATTGGTGGTATTTTGGTTAGCTCTTGAGATGTTGCTTTTCTCTTGACAGTGTGATTTTAGCCCAGGCCCCCTGGGATTTCACTCACTGTTGCTGGTTGTCTGTTATATTTCAGATGTGGATTTGACCTTTACAAGATTGATCACTTTGTGGAGCCTTAGCTCATCCCCATCTTCCTTACTCTTTTAGTTTAACCTTGTGGTTTACTGGCTGGCAGAAAAGCAGTAGGACTAAATCAGGCCCCATTTCTCCCCATCACTGCTTAGCAATTGCAGGAATGAGGCAAATCTGTGCTGCCTTCCAGCCTAGAAGCCCAGAGCACGTCACAGATGTTAATGAATTAAGCCTGACAATGCAGTCGAGTCCTCGGGGGAGGAAGGTAGGATGGGCCCCCACCTTCCAGCTTGGAGGCACAACAGCAGGGCTCAGACGCTCAGAGTGCTGGGTAAGTGATTAGCAATGTGGGAAGAAAGCCCTGGCTCCCACCTCTGAGCTATAATCACAGAAACGCTTGCTCAGTCTAATCCCTTGGGCTATTTTTTTTGTGCCTGTTTCCCCTGGGAGTAATATGCCGCCCTGCCCTGGCTCCCTTGGCTTCCCCCAGCCTCAGGGGCAGGCCAACATATCTGATGTGCCAGGCACCCATGCCCCCTCCCTCACAAGTTGTGCCCAGTGATCCTATGCCAAGCAGTTAGGATAGAGTGGAAAATTTCCCCCTCTCCACTGGCTGCATCTCCTGCTCAGTCAAGCCTAACTAAATTACGCATCGATCCTCGCCTTCTGCAAGGATGCCCAGCTCTTTGCATCTTCACAGAAGCAGCTGCCTGAAGCATCTCCATCCTGCTTGTAACCAGCTGGGTGGCTCTAGCTACTGCCTGACCTGGGAGGGACAGGCAGGAGTGTTAAGCTTGGGGTGGGCACTGAAGATGGAAGGTCTGAGCACATCTCCACTGGGCCCATCTCCTACCAGCTTTATAGGTCTCTGGGGTGGACAGGGCTGCAGCAGCAGCTCTGAAGCCTGCCCAGATGGAACCGAGTGGAGATGCCACCCAGCCACTGGAGCCCCGGAGATGCCACCACCGCAGCCCCACAAGAGCCCAGGAGGGTCCAGCCACCTGCTGGACCTCCGCGGAGAGGAGGCAGGGACGGCCAGCTGATGCAGCGGGGGCAGCTCCATCAACTCGCGTGGCATCAGCACCAGGGATGCTGTCCCCGCGAGTGGGATCTGTCCCCGCTGGTGGGATGCCGTCCTCCCGGGTGGGATGCCGTCCCCGCAGGTGGGATGCAGTCCCCCCGGATGCGATCTATCCCCGCGGGTGGGATGTGTCCCCGCGGGTGAGATGCCGTCCCCGCGGGTGGGGTGCCCGCCGCCAGCCCCTCGGCTCGGCCCGGCCCGGCCCGGCCGGTTGCCGCGGGTCGCCATTGGCTGCGGCGGGCGGGGCGGGGCGGCCCCGCCTCTGTCGGGAGCCGCCGCCGAGCCCGGCCCGGCCCGGCCCCGCTTCAACAGGCGGCGGCGGCGGCGGAGCGGCCGCGGCGGCAGGGCAGGGCCGGGCAGGGCAGGGCAGGCAGGGCCGCCGGGCGTCCCGCCGGGCGCCCCGCCGCCCCCCGCCGCCGGCGGCAGGATGATCGGCGTCAACAGCATCAACAGCAGCGCGGGGCGCATGCGGTCCCGCTCCATGTGCTCGGTGCGCTACGGGCGCAACTACCGCGGCGCGGAGACCTTCTGCTACGGCTGGCCCCAGCGCTCCCGCACTCTCAAGCCGGTGCTCTACACCGACCTGGTGGTCAGCCGCCTCCAGAACCGTCGCAAGAAGAAGCCGGTAAGCGGCGGGCCGGGGGAGCGGGTGGCTCCGCGGAGGGATGCGCAGCGCTCTGCGCCCCGGCGGGGACATGGGCAGGCGGACGTGTCCGGACAGCCGCCGTCCCGCCCGCTGGAAGAGCCTCAGCCCTGGTATGGATGTAGCGATCAGCCAGCCCCATCTCCCTCTCCTGCCTGCTTTCTGCGGAGCCGGGCCCCCACCAGCCCGCCCCTCCGCCCGAGGATCCCCTCCCCAGCCCTGCCGTCCTTCCCGCATCCGACCCCGAGCACAGGGGTTGCGGGAGCGCGGCAAGACCTGGGTGACATTGCGCCGCTTACCGTGGTCTGACAGCAACGCTTGCTCGAAAACATCGCTGCAAGAGGAATCCAGGACAGAGCCGTACCGCTGGGACCAGCCCTCCAGCTTAGCATAAGTGACAAGCTCTGCGGGCTCCCTGCCAAGGGTTGAGCTGCGCCGTGCCGTGCCAGCCCGGCCAGGGCAGACTGGCACCCAGCTGGGCGGCGGGGAAAGCCGCAAGGCAGCGCGGAGGGACAGCGCCGCAGCCCCGGCTCCCAGCCGAGCGGAGCTGGAGAGAAAGGAGTGGCAGCCTGGACATAAAAGGGCTTTCTACTGCCAAGAGCTTGCTCGCTGTGAGCCGACATCCGTTTTGGAGATGTTAGGCTGGTGCGCATCGGTCCTGGGTGGGAAGAAGCGAACAGGCTGTCTCTGGGCGCGTCCTGCCTCGGTCGGGTGCCTTGCTCTGGTGTAGCAGCGGGAGAAGAGTCTACATCGTCCCTCTCCTCTCAGGCAGGTTGGGCCAGAGCAGGCAGGGATACCCCAGAGCTACCTGGGCCGCCCCCGTGGCCAGAACAAGCCCGGTGGGGCCATCGGGGCCGTGCCAAGCCGCGATGCTGTCATAGCGCAGTACGGTCTGGGGGCAGCATTAAGTTGTGACGCACTCGGTTGGAAACATGCAGTTGGGAGATGCTCGGTCGCTGCTTCCCGCGCTGTGGGGCTGTGCTAGGAGAGATAGAGAGGTCTACTGTCCTGGGAGTAATAGTTGCCTGGGCAATGAAGGTTTTAAATATTTTAAAAGAGATTGGTGCAGCTTAGATGTTACTGAGTTGAAAGTATGGGGCTGGGATAGGCAGCTGTCCATTACTGACTGCAGCAGGGTGGAAGGTGATGCACAGGACACTGTCCCAGTGGCAGCCTATTCTACAGAGAAAAAAGTCTTGTTCCCAAGTCACTCTGCTCTGTGCACACTGGAGCCCCTCTGCAGTGGAGGGGAGGAGGGACACACGGGATGTGCGCAGCAGGGGCTGGTGCGTGCCAGGTGATGAGTTGTTCTTGAGCATGGGTTGTGCATGCTGTACAGGCAGTGACGGTGTAGGGGGGGCTGCCAAGGTGAATTAGTGGCCCAACATAGGTACAGTTCCATCTAACGTACAGCCCTGATCTGACCCTGCTGTTTGTATCTGCAGAGCTGGGGGGGGGGTCTGTGTGCCTGGGGGACTTCACAGAGCTTTGTGGCTGGGTGTAGAGAAGATATTTTGCTAAGGAAAAGTTGGGGAAAGCCAGCAATTTACCTCTCATATTGAAATGCTGCCATGCACAGAGAGAGGGAGAATGACAGCAGAGAGGGTGTTTGGTGGCTGTGAAGTCTGTCTTGAAGAATGTCATGCACCCGTGGATGGTCACAGGTCTGGCAAGAGGAAGGGGAGCCTTGACATGCAGAGGGCATGTTGCTGCACAGAGAGCTGAGCACTGTGTTGTTTAGCACAGGAACTAGCAGAGTGGAAAGGGGATGTGTCTGTAAGAGTTATGATGCATAAAAGAGGCACTCCAGATAGGGTTAAACCCTTTATCCAGATGCCTAAATTTCTGCATTAACCTTCATCTGTTACTTGAGTGCTGGGTTACAGCCCTCAGTACAATCCTGTGCCAAAGCTGTGTCCAGGCCAGCTTGTTACCCAGCTCCCCAAACCACCACTGAATCTTGCCTCTGGTCTGGTCTGAGCTGAGGAGTTGAAGGGGGCTGTCTTCTCCCTGCCCTGCTCACATAGGGCTGTCCCCAGCAGGGCTGGCACTATGGCTGGGCTGGAGCATCAGAGCCACCTGCCTCTTGCCCAGTGCAGCCCCTCACCTCTCCTTGAGACATTTGCTATAGCAGGACTCCGGGACATCCTCTCAGCCTGCTTTTTGGGAGTGAGGGCACCAAAGAAAGATGTTGTTGATTCAGTTAGAAATCCCACTGGGACAGTATATTCCTAGGTCTCTTCGGTATTGCGCATGTCTAGGGCAGAGCTGGCTGGCTGGCCTGGCATGCTGCAGCAGTGAGCTCATAACCCAACAATGGCAAAAAACCCCAACCATGCTTGGGGTCGTCCATAGTGGCATTTGGCCAGTGCCCAGCTTTCTCTTGGGCAGTGCCTGCAAGCGCAGAGATACCAAAAGGTGCTGTCCATTTGGCCCAGGAGGAATCAAACCACAGAGCAAAGAGAACCTGGAGAGAGGGACCTGCTGGTTTAGTGTCTCTGGTCTCTGCTGACATGGTTGTGAGATAGGCTTCAGGAGCCTGCATATCCTGTGCTTCCCCAGTAGAAACAGTCTGTACACCAAAGAGCACAGAGTTCAGTGGACTGACGGGCAGTTGTTCTGGTACAGTACCGGAACAGCAGGGTGGGCATTGTGGCTGGAGTGCATCTTCTCAGCTAAGACCTGGGCTGAGTCCACCAGCTTTGTTCTGAGATCGGTGTTGGCTGGGGTTGGCGTTTAGCCAAGCAGAGTCTTGGCAGGATTTAAGTGTAGACATAAAGCTTTGCGTTGTCCTCTCAATCCCCACAGTCTCCCTATTTGCTTCTCACTGTTTCCCTGCACAGGAGTGCTGAGCAAGCCCTGCTCCCTGACTCTGAGTTGGGGTACTTGGCAGCCCCTGCTGGACACGGGCTTGGTGGCATGCTGTCAGGGCTTGTAACAGGGCAGCTGGAGCTTTTGAAAGCCACAAGGCTGTTCAGCCTTTGAATTACTCGCCGACAGAGCCCAGGTTTTTGTAATGCAGTACTCTGCCAGGCTGTTATCCGGCAATGTGCCATCCAGAATTACTCCTCGAGCATCTTCTGGTATCACTTCATTCACTCTGCATTTAGCAGCAATCCTCCTGCAAGCCCTGCATGGGGCTCGGGTCCTCTCCGGTGTTGCACCTTGCCCTGCCCTCCAAAATCCCATCTCAGCTGGCTCACATCTCCCTTCCTTGGGGGCAAGGAGATGACACCTCTCTGTATTGCCACTGAGCCAGGTAGAAGCCAAGCCATGTGTCCCATTCTACCCACTCTTTCCAAGGTGCTTTTCTGCCGTTTCCAGTCCCCGCTTCTTTGTGCCGTTTTTTTTAGTCTCCTTTTTGTGTCCGTTCGTTTTCGGCATTTTTCAGCTGCATCCGTGGCAGTGAGTAAGATCCCTTCCCTTCTGTTTCCCATGGTGACTCCTTATCATCTACATTGCTCTGAGATGCCTGCTTACCCCCCTGCTCCACTCCCAGGTTATGTTCTGCAAGGCTTTGGATTGGTTTTTTCCCTCCAGGCTCTTCTTTAAGTCTCTCTTCTCCTCTTGCTACCAGCCCACCGATGGGTACCTCCTGCTCACAACTCAGCATCCTGCCCCTCCAGCACTGGGGCTGTGTGAATGGAGCTGGAGTCAAATTTTCTCTCAGGCTCTGAGGCCATAAACCCTCTATAGGCATCCTGCCTTCCCAGGAGACAACTGAACCCTAGTTTCTGCCTGCTAGACTAGGACGATCCCTTCCCTCCTCTGAGAAACAAACTGGTGCTATTGCCAGCGTTTCCCCAGCAGGAAAGTGCAAGAGGAGCTGGGTTCCTGCTCTGTCCTGGCTGCTGTGCCTTTGGGAGTGATGGATGTCCCTTCCCCAGACACTGCTGGGGCCTGTGTGCTGGCCAGCATTCCTAGGCTCCTACACGCCTCCAGTTGTACTTTCTCAGCCACCAGCAAGATCTCTCAGCAGCAGTCTCCGGCCCAGTGATGGATGTTGACAGCTGCATGAACAGCCTGTGCAAGACTCAATTATTTTCCTCCGAGGATGATGCCTTCCAGATCGTGCTCCTAAGCCCTCTGTGAGCACTGTGTTGAAACCCTCTCTGGAGCCTCCCTGATTGCAGAGCTGTGCTGAGCACTGCTGGCTTGCACCCAGCTTGGACCAAACAAACACTTGGGAGCAGGGCCCTGGAGCATCCTGCTGCAGGCAGGCTTGTCTTGCTCCTGTGCTGAAGTACAGGCATTGGGTCCTGCTTTGTTCAGCTTGGTGGTGTTTGGGTCCCCAAGGAAGGAAAGGTGCTTGAGGGTGCTGGGGAGGGGTAGGGCCAGGCCACAGCCACTCCAAGCAGCAACAGCCCATCCTGCCTTGACCAGCCACAAGGTCCTCTGGGGGCCTCATGAATGACAGCATGCCAGGGTCTCTGCCAGTGCCATGCTGAAGTCTGTCCCAAAGCTGAAGTGTGCTCCTGCGAGAGCAATGCATTGCTGGGGAGTGCTGGGTGCTGCCATGAGCCCATCTCTGCTAGCCCAGGGCAGGTAGCTGACAGCAGCAGGGTTACTGGCTATGGTCTGTTGTGTCATGAAGCTGCTGAGGGCCCTGGAGCAGACTGAGGTCCCACTGAGTGGGGTGAAGGCAAGCACCATCAAAGTCCATCCCAAAAGCTTGCTCTCTTTGGACTCAGGCCTCCTGAATGCTGTTGCTTTTACCAGCCTGGAACACCTTGTAGTGGGGAGAAACAGCTTTCCCAAGCACTTGGAAATGTTTGATGTGCCTCACCATTATGCTGCTAATGCTGTGGCGCTGTCACAGGGAGGTAGAGTGGAAGGGAAAGAAAGGAGAAAATGCCAGGCCCATCCCCAGCACCATACCTGGGATGTGCTTGGGGTTGCAGGTCCCATGGTGCCCAGGAAAAGCAGTATCTACAGTGATGTCAGTAGCCCTAAAACAAGGTCCACCAGCTAGTCCAGCCAGGACAGGGCTGGATCAGGACAAACTGACGGGGGATTACCTTAACCTCCAGTACCCTTGAGCCAGTCTGGTGCGCCTTCTCTGTTCCCTGGAGCAGCCCCCCGTCTTGGCACCACTCTCCTGCTGACCCCCCCGCTCTTCTCTCTGCAGGCACTGTACGGCTCCATCAAGAACGAGAAGCTGCAGTGGGCCATGTAAGTACCCCCACTGGAGGTGCTGCTGCCCGGCGCTGGGCAGGCAGTGAGGCCACCCAGCCCCAGAGGCCCCACGAGCCATGATGCTGCAGTGCAGGTGCCCCTGTGATGATTTGGGAAGGAGAGGGAGCTTGGGATGGACTGGGCTGGGGCTGCAGGCAATGTACCCCTGGCTGCCCTCAACACCTTCCCCAGCATGCTGAGAGAAAGCCAGCTGAGGCCAGCTTCCTGCGGCTTTGGTGTGGATTTGTGTCTTGGTGGCCATGCCTGTGGTGGGAGTAGGCAGGCTCTGGGGGTACTGTGGCTGTGCTGGGGCCCCACAGGGTGCCCGCACCCTCGCCCACAGCTGCCATCTCCAGCAGCAGAAGCGGCAGCGCCTGCGCTGCAGGGATTAATCAGCCCAGTGGTACCCAGCGCTGAGCGATGCACTCGGCCGCTGCCATGGAGACGCCGGCAGATGCTGAGGGGTTTAATTAGCAGCGAGCGGCTGAGGGAGGGGGGAGGCAGCAGCTCTGGGCTCCCACATCTTCGTGCAGGCTGGGGGGAGCAGCACCAGTGCAGCCTGCCCACAGTGAGGGGCCGTGGCCTGGTGGGAGAGAGCTGCCTACATACTGCCCACATCTGCTCCTGCCCTCAACTGGTACTGCCCGAGGCCTTCCCACCACAGTCTCCCTGCACCCCTTCACTTCTGGCTTGGGGCCCCATAGTCTGGCTGCCACCCTGAAGGTGTGGGGACCACAGCCTGGGTCTCTCTTTGTGGGTGAGTTCCATTTTAAACCCTTCTTCCAACCACCACCATGGCCTGGGGAGCCCTGGTAATGCCAAGCCCTGGGGTGCTGCTCCTCTATGGCTCCTGGCTTATCAGCCTGGCTGATATCAGTCCCATCCCTGGCCAAAAAAAGGGCTCCTCATTCCCTGGGGTTGGCAGGTGCCCCACCCTGAATTGGCAGCAGACACCGCAATGCCCTGTCTTTTGAGGGGCCAGGCATCACCTCAGCTGCCTAGAGGGACAGGGGCACATGGGCATGGCTGGGTTTGGGATGCTCACCCGTGGTGGTGGGAGACTGCTCATCCTGGCCTGCTTCTCCTGGCTTCCCTTTCAGAAGCCAGGCCTAAAAGTTGGAACAGCCAGTGGGGAACTTGGTATTTGCTGTCCCCAGCAAAGTAACAAACTCTTTCCCCACCCAAATTTGTGATTGTCAGAGATGAGGAGGAGCTGAGAAAGTCCCTCTCGGAACTGGCAGACCCCAACCCAAAATCCATCAAGCGCATCAGCAGCTGCAGTAACCCCTTTCTGGACTTCTCCCAGGACTCCAGCATTGCCACCTACAAGCACGGGCTGTTAGTCCGCAAGATCCATGCTGATCCTGACTGCAAGAAAAGTAGGTGCCGGGGAGCCCATGGGAGGCACTTGGGGCAAGAGGGCACCAGTGAGCTCCAGAAACTAAACAGAGCTAAGCGGGGCAGGAGTCACTGTATGATGTCTAATGGTAGCAGGTAGCATCATGCCAGGCTTCAGCATCAGCCCCCTGTGTCCTCTCTGTCTGTATGTGCCAGGCATAATTCAGCCCTCAGGCTGGGGAGCTGGAAAGCTTCTCCCTGCCCGTTTGCCCCCACCATCAGGGCCAGGTAGAGGCCAAGCAGGTGGGCGGAGCAGCCCCTGCCCACAGCACTGGGAAAAGCTCAGGCAGGGAGGTGGGCTGGGGTGGGATTCCCGGGGGCTGCATCCCTGCCACAGGATTGCAGGGATGGAGGAAGGTGTCCTGTGCTGTGATAAACAAGACACACAGTAGGCTGCTGCTGTTTGGGCACTGCCAGGCATGTTCACCATATTCCCAATAAAATCCCCTCTAAGCCCTGGCCATCTAATGCCGCCTAGATCTGATTAGATGCAGCCGCCCTCCAAAGCCAGCATTACCTGGCAGGCAGCACCGCCTCGTCCCTCGCCCTGAGCAGGGAGGCAGTGGTGCATCCCAGCACAGGCAGCGAGGCGGGAGCGCAGCGGGCTGGCCCCGGGGGGCGGCAGGCGGCCCCCTGCCAGCAGCACCATCTGCCAGCCACGCGGCCGGCACGGGCTCAGGTGCGCGGGGACGGTCCTGGCGTGCTGCCCGTCCCGGGGGTGGGGGGACGTGCGTCGTGGCAGAGCTGGCTGGAGGAGGATGGGGGTTGCCTTCCCCCCACTAAATGCTAAGGATGATGTCTGAGCTGCTCTCTCCTCCCCGGCAGCACCCCGAGGGAAGCGAGGCTGGAAGCCCTTCCATGCCATCCTGAAGGGGATGATTCTCTACCTGCAGAAGGTAGGCAGCAGCAGAGCCACCTGTGTCTGCACCAGGGAGAGGGATTGTCTCCAGCCCAGGGGGAGGGTCATGGCAGTCTCCACAGCTGTGAGAGGGGCTCCAGCAAACAGCAATGCAGAGCATGGCCTAAGCAAACTCGGCACCATACATGCTTGAGCCGTTGCTTGGGGATCTGGTGGCATCCCTGTTCCCAGGGTGGCTCAGCCTGAGCAGTGAAAGCGGCTGCTGAGAGCCCTGCATGCAGGAGGCTTGGCTGGGGAGACAGGGGGCAGTGGGGTCTTTGCCCTGCGTGGGAGGTTGGGCTGGACATCCAGTTCCCTGCAGGCATACATGCTGCCCAGCTGTGGGCAGTGGGGAACAGCCCCTGTGTTATTGCCATTCCAATGCACCCAGGTTGTGCAGCCTCTCCCCAGGGGGGTAGGATGAGTTGGAAGCAGAGCCCGCAGCTGGCTGGTGGAGGGTGGTCTCTAAGACCTGCCACTGCCAGTGCTAATCTGCAGTACCTGAAACCTCACAGAGCTGACTCATGGTGGGCTGCATCCCTGAGCCAGCTCTGAAACTCCCCATGATTTGCAGGAGGAGTATAAGCCAGGGAAGGCGCTGGCAGAAGAGGAGCTGAAGAATGCTATTAGCATCCACCATTCGCTTGCCACGCGGGCGTCTGACTACAGCAAGCGACCCAATGTCTTCTACCTCAGGACAGCTGACTGGAGAGTCTTCCTCTTCCAAGCACAGTGAGTCCCTCAGGATCACTGGCTGCGCCCCCACCCTGGGACACAAGGGCTCGTCTGACTGGGGGGTAGGGTGGGATGGGGCTTAGGGCCACATTGCTCTCTCCTGTCTTGGCCCTTTCTGGAAGGAAAGGGACCCGGTGTCAGTGCTGAGCTTTGCTCAGCTTCTCTTCTTACCCTGCTGGGCACAGGATTGCTGGGGGCAGAGTCCCGGGTGCCACGGCTGGCCAGGGCTGGCCAGGGCTTGGGGACTTGGATCTTGTCTGCAGGGCAGATCTCTCTGTCTTTGGCACAGACAGCCCATCTGTGGTATGGCTTTTTTCCTTAGGAACCCGGAACAGATGCACTCGTGGATCACACGCATCAATGTGGTGGCAGCCATGTTCTCTGCGCCCCCTTTCCCCGCAGCCATCGGCTCCCAGAAGAAGTTCAGCCGCCCGCTGCTGCCCAGCTCGTGCACCAGGCTGTCCCAGGTGGGCCATGGTGTGGGGGCAACCGTGAGCATGGGACAAACCCCCTGGGTCTCCCAGTGGCACTTTCCCCTGTGGAGGGACCTGTGTGGTGCCATGCTCCCCACTGCCTCCCAGTGAGGCGCAGGGCCGAGGGATTCACAGAGCAAAGGGGTACTGAGGTTGTGGGCAGACAGTGAGGTCTTGTTCCCGGCAGTGGGGACTGGAGTCAAGCAATAGTTAGACCACGGAAGAGAACATGGTCCCACACCACAACCTGCAGGGTCCTGCCAGGGACCTTGAAAGGCAACTGGCTGGGGGGATTAGCTGGCACTCGTGCATGCCAGGGCAGATATTCATAGAGCAGAAAGGATTTAAAAAAACCACCAGCCTAGTTTTAGAGGGATTAAATTCTTCTGCTTTAAGACTGCAGTCAGCCCCTCCACAAGGTGAGAGCAGACAGCCCCAAGGGCCTTTGATTTTGCCTGCCATTTAGAAAAAAAAAATCAAACCCAGGAACAGCAGCTGAGATCTTGGCTGGACCTATAAGGGGAAAAACCTATTCTGTCCCTGGCCAGCTCACACTACCAGGGGGATAGACCAAGGCACTGACATGGTGTCACCCTTCCCCAGGAGGAGCAGGTGAAGAACCACGAGACCAAGTTCAAGACAATGTCAGCAGAGCTGCTGGAGCATCGCTCCTCACTGCCTGAGAAGAAGGTGAAGGGCAAGGAGTATGAGGAGCTAAAGCAGAAGGAAGAGTACCTGGAGTTCGAGGTGAGCTGGGAGATACCCCCCTCTACCCTCAGGCCCTCTGCCCCTGCCTGCTTGGCCGTTCTGAGCGATGGGTCCAACCCATCCCTGTCAGATGAATTGCACTGTGTCATTGCCACGGTCACAAGCATTCCCCTGCCCTGGGATGCTGGCTGGGATGGGTGGGGCCACGAGCACCCCCGACATGGGGATGCTGTGCAGGGGACAGTACCCAGCTTGCCAACCTCTCTCTCTGCTGCACTGTGCCCCCCAGAAATCCCGCTATGGCACCTACGCCATGCTGCTGCGGGCCAAGCTGAAGGCTGGCTCCGAGGACCTGGCAGCATTTGAGTCCACCCTGTTTGACACAGCGGGTGGGGAGGATGATGGCCTGAAAAAGTCCCGCTCCAGCCCCTCGCTCAACGCAGAGCCCTCCAGCACGGCCACCAAGGTGAAGCGCAATATCTCAGAGCGCACTGGCCGCCCCAGCCACCCCCAGAAGTCCTAAGGGAGGGGCATCAGCCGCCTGCGCTGCAGCTCCATTCCTGCCCCCCCAGCAGGGGGGTGGAGGCCGTGTGCCCGCCGAGACCCTGCATGTGTCCGTCTGTTTGCGGCACAAGCTAGAGGGGGTGACAGCCCTTCTGCAGCCGCCAGCACCAGCCATGCAGGGCCACGGCCCATCCACCGGAGATGATGGCAGAGCAGGACAGTCCCTGGTCCTTGCCTGCAGGAGCTGCCCGCACCATCGGCCCCATCAGACTTGTTCCTGCCCCTCCTTGTCCTGCATTTGGCTGCAGGACCTACTCTTCTGCCCCGGGAAAGGGGAACAACTGAAACCCTCCTACTGGCCTCAATTCTTCAATGGTTTTAAAAAAAAAAAAAAGACAAAATTGCAGCAAAACAAAGCCAGCGGCTGCTTCTTCTCCAGCTCCGTCGTGCCATGGGGGTAGATGGGAGGGGGCCAGTCCTAACCTGTCCCCTCTTCTGGGGCTGGTGGCCAGGGAAGCCAGGGCAATGGCACCTGGTCCCCTCCCTGCCACCTCAGTCACCTCTGCACCCTCCTCGCTTTCTTACAACTTTTGAACAGTTTTTGTGATACAGTTTTGCACTTTTTAGTACCAGATCGAGCTGACCACCAGGGAGGTTTTTTTGGGGCTACTTTTGATGCTTTTTGAGAACTGTTTAAAAAAAAAAAACAAACAGAAACTCAGCCATTTCCTGTAGGCACTGCATTCTGGGGAAAAGAGGCTTTTACAAGGATCTGGGGCAATCTAGCTCCTCCCTGCCCTGCAGCAAGCTGAACATGGGCTCCTGTGTGTGCTGCTGCTGCCTGCTTCCCCAGCTCCACTTTGGCACCAGCAACCCTTTGGGGAAACAGCCTTGTGGCTGCCAGCAACAAGGAGGCAGCCTTGGGATGGCAGCACCCATTGCTGCACTTGTGGCTGCATGGGATGCTGATGGGCCGGTGCTTCATGAACCCCATTCCCCCTTGGCAGCCTGGACAGGCCCTGTTTGCCGTCTGGGAGTGATCATCGTCCTCGGGGCATGTTGGGCAGCAGTGTATAAGTACTCCCAGCGGGGCAGTGACCCCTGGAGCCAGGGCTGACATGTGGGTCCCCACTGCCCTATGGGTCTGGCACAGGCTGGAGCCAGCTTTCCTTCCCACACCTCTTCTCCAATGCATGGCCAAGGCCTCAGAGGCTGCCAGGAAAGCCTGGTCTGCAGCACTGCAAGGTCCTCAGGCTGCAGCAGCAGTGGTGCAGCCCCTTCCTCAGCCACGGGCTCCCTCCTTGCCAAGGAGCGGGGCAGGCTGGGGTGGCCTCCACCACTCCAGGGTGGGCTGAAGGATGCTTGTCCAGAGCAAGGTGCAGGTGATGGAGCATGGCTTCAGGATTGTCCAGAAAGGGGTCTGGGGACAGCAGAAGGGCTGTGAGCAGGGGCACACACGCAGTTCTCGGCTGCCTGGGACCTGGCTGGTTTCAGCACTGACTTTGCGAATGTGTCAAACTTTTTATTCTGCTCTTTTGAGTCTATTGCAAAAACAAAACAAAACAAAACAAACAAACAAAAAAAAAAAAAAAAAGAAAAAAGAAAAAATGAAAAAAAATCCACCCTTGCCCCAGGTGGCTCAGGGGGGAAAAAAACCTTTGTACAGCTTCTCTCGGTTACTGAAGTAAAACTCGCTCTTCACTTCTTGTGTGTGCTGTGGTTTCTTCCCCACAGTTGGGAATAGCCCTGGCACAGAGGGATACTGAGAAGGGGCTGGCAGCTGTCTCCTTGCTGCCAGACTCCCAGACCGAGGCAGAGTTCAGCAGGCTTAGTGCCCACTGACTCACGGCTGGGGCTGGAGAGAGGGAGGGCAAAGGCTAATGGAAACTGTGTATTTTTATTTAGAAGAGGGACCATTAAATAAGAGCAGAAAGGGGCAGGAGCCGGCTGCGTCCCATCCCCCTCAGTCCATGCAGCCAGGACCCCAAGTCCAGAAGGCACTTGTGTGGGCAAGGCAGAGGGCAGTGTGTGGGCACAAGGGCTACTGGCTCCTCAGTGCACCTGTGGCTGCTGGCTGGGGGGCAGCTCACCCCCCGGCTTCAAGGCCAACGTGGGCTCCTGCTCCTCCTCCACCGACTCACTGCCGTAGGCACTGTCTTCCTTCAGCTCTGCAAAGGAATTCCCAGGTGCTCTTAGCGATGGGGCGTCAGGGGGGTAGCAGAGACACCCTCTGCCTGCCCAGCCCATGCTCTCTGTACCTGTGCTTTGCAGCTTCTCCAGTGCCTCAGTTTTGTGGAGCATCCTCACGGCATTGTGGAGCCCCATAGAGTCCAATGCCTCCAGCAGTCCCCCCAGGCTGCCACCTGCCAGCTGTGGAGAGAGGGCTCTGAGTGGGGCCAATGGCTGGGCAGGCAGGCGGGACAGGGGCACCTCAGCCAGGCACTGACCTCGTAACTGCGCAGGAGGCTGACGCTGGGTGAGGGGGTGTCCTTGTAGGTCTCCACGAGGCTGCAGAGCCCCAGGCGCTTGGCCAGCTCAATCCAGTCTGACCCACTGCAGTCCTGGTTCAGCAGCTGCTCCAGCCCCTGCAGTGCCTCACTGTCCAGTGACAGGACCTTCCCTGCACAGGAGAGGTGCCTCCATCTCATGCTGCCCATCCTTGCCCCCAGGAGGGTGCTGCCCTGCCTGTGTGAGGTGCTTTCGGGAGGAAAAGGGCTACTCACCTGGCTGGGGAGCGGTAGGCAGCTCCGCCTTGGGCCCCTGCTGGGAGGCCTGCAGCAGTATCTCCCGCACCTGCAGACAGACACACAGATGTCAGCATCCCATAAAGCACTGCCCAGATCCCCCATCACCTCCTCATGCTATGGATCTCCCCAGGACACGGAGGGGCACCAGCATCCTCACAGGAGCATCTCCTGGAGCTCGGCCCCATCCATGCCATGGCCCACACAGAAATGCTCCCTGGGAGCTTGTCCCGTGGCGTCACACACCTTCTGGCTCCGAGTCAGGTCCAGGGATGTGTGGCAGCGGCGCTGCCTGTGCCCTGCCTGCCAGTGCCCCTGTATGGGGAGCTTGGGGTTGGTGCTGTGCTCTGCAGCCAGGGCTGGCTCCCCCAGCTCCATGGCCAGCTCCTGCTCCTCAGGGTCAGTGTCTGTGTCGCTGCTGGCCTCCGATGAGGATAGGCTCATGGGCTCGTCATTCTCACACAGAACATCTGCCCCTGTTAGGGAAGGGTGGAATGAGCCCCCAGAAGAGAAGGTGGGCCTAGGGGTCTGCCCTGTGCCTGGCACCCCTCAGCACAGGCAGCCAGGGCTATGGAGAGGGAAGGGAAAAGAGAAAGGGCAGTGCCTTACCAGCTTTGAGGAGCAGTTTGGTGAGGGTAGGGGAGCCCAGGCCAGCAGCCAGGTGCAGAGGGGTGTTCCCGGCGAAAGTCCGGCTGTTGACATCTGCTCCCAGCTAACAAGAAAGGTGAGAGGCCATGATGATGGGCTGCCTAGGCACTTCTCCTCCTACATTCTGTTACCTGAAGACCTCAGGGGAGCCCCCACTTCTGCCAGGGCCCTGTAGGAGCTGCACCCCATCAGCCCACAGCCGCCACCACACAAGCCGCCCCACACCTTTTTCACCAGGTGGGTAGCCATGTTCAGGTTCTCCATCTCCACAGCCAGGTGCAGTGGGGTCCTCCCGCTTTGCCTCTCCGCTGCATTCACATCTGCTCCCGTCCTGACCAGCAGGTCCAGGCAGGCCAAACTCTTTGCCTTCACAGCCAAGTGCACAGGCAGGAGGCCTGAAAGATGGGGAGAGACTCAGAAGCTTTCTTGCAAAGCCCATGATGGCACCGATGGTGCTGCTCATCGTCCTTCAACCCCACTCACCATGGAAATTGGGCAGGCGGAGCAGGTAAGGGGCAGCCGAGCCCAGGTGGGCCAGCAGTGTCTTCAGCATCTCTTCATCGCCAGCCTGGAGCGCCAGGTGCAGCAGGGAATTGCCGTAGCGGTCCAGCAAGGTTGGGTCAGCGCGGGCTTGCAGCAGGAGCTGGACCACTTGGGGCTGCTTGGTGATGACTGCCAGATGCAGCGGCGTCTGCAGGACAGCAGCACACCCTCAGCAGCGCTCACAAGAGGAGCCAAGTCCTGCACCATCGTTCTCTCCACTGTGGCTGCACCTTGCTCAGATCTGCAGCCTCCCCTCAGCAGGAGCAGCAACAGGAGCCTCCAGGGTTGGGAAACAGGAGTGAGGAACTACTCCCAGGTAGAGGAGAATTGGCTGCTCTGCAAAACGTACCTGTTGCAGGTTATTAGAGATGTTGATGATCTGCTGGCTGGGGATGCTAACGATGACCTCGATCAGCTGCTTGATCACAGCTGTCTGCTCATGGATAATAGCGAGGTGCAAAGGCCTGAAAAGAGAGTGGAGTGGTCCCTAGCTCAGCTCCATGCTTCTCCAGGTACTCCCTGCCACACCCAGAGCCCCCATAATGGCTCTAACGCCCAACAAGGCCCCCACGCTCTCCCTCCAAATCCTTTGTGTGCTCACGTGTCTCCATTCTCGTCCTGTGATGCGGCCAGGTGCCTCTGGACTGCCAGCAGCATACGGGGGTCGGCAGTGACCGAGTAGTCGAGCAGGGCATGGGCATTGCGACGGGCTAGTGCCAGCATCCAGAGCTGGTACAGCTGGGCTGGGGGGCAAAGCAGGATGTCACCTCCAGGAGCAGCAGCCCCATCCATCCACCCTCCTGTATCCCCCAGGAGTGGAGAGCAGCACCCCAAAAGGCCCCCAACCCATGCCTCCTCTCCTGAGTGATGTGCCCCAGTCCCCCCTCAAGCTCAGCCCCTCCTACCATGCTTCTGCAGCTCCTTGCAGTACGTGCTCTCTGTGGGTGCCTGCCTGTCGCTCCCGGGCCCCTCTGCCTCAGGGCCCTTCATCTGCACACCCCCCTGGTAGCTCCCCACAGGGTGGGGTCCAGGTGAGTAGATGCTGTTGTAGGGCAGCCCAGGAGAGTAGGGGAAGCTGAGGTTGCCACCTGCAGAGCAAGCAGGAGGACAAGTGAGCAGAGGGGAGCAGCAAGCCCCAAGGGTCAGGCCTTAGCCACCCAGGCAGGGAGGGGGAAAAGGCATCCCCACTCACCTCCTCCAGAGCCAAAGCCTCCGGCACCCCCACCAGCACCCCCCATGTGTGAGCCCCCACCAAAGTGCTGGGGAAACTGAGGCAGGACTTTCTTGCGCTTCCTCTCCACTTCTTCCTTGTCTGCAGGGAGAGAGGGGCAGCGAGGTGAGGGGCAGACCAGGTGGCAGGAGACATGCTAGCATGCCTGGGGGGTGCTCACCTTCCACCACCGGGTAGTAGGTGAACTGCTTGGAGTCGCTCACGTCTCCTCCCCGTTTCCGCTTCAGCTGCAGGAAGACGGTGACAGGACGGTCGATCTTGGGCTTGTGGTAGGGGGGTGTGCGGAAGACAATGGCATACTGTGGGCAGGACACATGGATATGAGGTCCTGCTCATCCTTGAAGCTGGGGACAGGGCACCTGTACCCCACAGGGCACCTGTCTACCTCGGAGCACAGCAGGACACTCCCTGTCTCCCCTGTACCTGTTTGTGCACATCTGTGGGGGAAAAGTCCCCAAAAGCCTGCCAGCCGTTCTCGTCATCCTCGTAGAAACGCACCTCGATGTCATCTGGGGAGAGAAGGGAGCTGGCAGCGCCTGTCTCCTTGCCCCAGTCAGGCTCCAGGAACACAGACCCCTGGCCACCCAGGGGCCTTAGATCTCTCCTGCCACAGCCCCTCCAGAAGGTTTCGGCTGGAGGCAATGGCTTTTACCTTTCTGAACTTTATCACACAGCAAGTAGACTTCGTCCCCTCCCCGCACGGAGCCTGCTGTCTTATCCATTCGTGAGATCTTCAGGTTGGAAGCTCCTGGGGACTCTGCAGAGCAAGAGGAGGTGTTCAGAGCCACTGTGCAGACAGAGCATCCCTCACTTCCTTACCCCACCCTGCCCCGTACCCTCCCCAGGCTGGCCCCATGCTCACTGCTGTCATGGATGGGGTCCGAGATGACAGGCTGGAGGGCCAGCGTGAAGTTCCCGCTGCTGTCACGGAGGTAGGCAGTGAAGCGCAACCGCACAATGCTCAGGTCCATCACCTTCTTCAGCTCCTTTGCCTCCAGCTCGATCTCACGCAGCTCCGCTTCTGCCAGGGCAGGGCGAGATACCGTCAGGCTGGGTGGGGGGATGGTGCTCCAGGTCCCCCCACCCACACACTCCAGCCCCATGCTAACTCCAGCTCCCCTGCTGTCACCCCGTGGGGCCAAGTTCTGCTGAGTCCCCAGGCTGCCCTCACCCGTCAGCAGATGGCTCCTGTTACGCATCTTCTGCTGCTTCAGCTTTTCCTTCATGATCTCCATCATATTCTTCTTGGTGACATGGAGCACACCCAGGTTGCTGAACCTGAAGAAGAGGGAACCGCCTGGGAACTCAGAGTGTCAGGGCTGGGAGCAACCAGCCCAAAGGGGTAGTCTCCTGCAGCTGGGAAGGAGCTGAGCAAAGCACAGAGCAGTGCCACTCAGACAGCAGTGAGTCAACATGTGTGGGGCAGAAGAGGAGCAACCACAGAGGACAGGAAAGGAGCCAGGAAACTGGGCTCCACGGGTGACAAGTCCAAAGGGCTGTCAAAGACAAAACCAGAGGGACTGAAACCAGAGGAATGGAAACAGGACCAAGCTGAGCCAGGGCTGGACATAAAAGAGCAACTGCAGTGGTTGCTGAATAACCCCATGATTCAGGCTGGCTTCAAAAGTCATCTGCAAAGCTGGGGAGCTGCAACCCAAGGACAGAAGCCCAAAATAAGGTGCATGTGCCAGAACCTAGATCTAGGCAAAATGCTCAGGGAACAGAGCTGTAACAATGAACTTGTCTAAACACACTCCTGGCCCCATCCAGCAAACCCAGCTCCAGCGTGCACTAACTCCCACCCTGTCCCCATCTCGTAAGCTGAAGGCAGCACCCACAGCCACCTCACAAAGGCAAGAGGCCACCCCGGGTCCCCTCACACATACTGAGCTGTCATGTCCTTGGGTCCCACGATCGTGACACAGTTGCCAGCCTCGTTGCACTGCTTGCCCACCAGGCTGTGGGCATGTACACGAGGAGGGTCACTGTGCGTCACCAGGTCTACCTCGATCCGGGCCATCCCTGTGTAGTTGCAGATCTGCAGGGAGAAAGGAGATAGGTATAATATACCAGGAGTTTGCAGGACTCTCCACAAATCCCCTCCCCATAGCCACCACCCCTCTTGCCACAGCCCTCTCATCCCTCCAGTGCTGTGAGACACACAGAGCTAATTATAAATTTCCTGTCCTTCCTTCAAGGCTCCCTCCCGGTGCTCGTGCACTGCTGGCTGAAGATGCTGTTCCATCCCCTCCCCAGGGCACCGCTCACCTTGACTGTGGGATAGGTCTTGCGCCCCTTCTCACTGGATGCTCCTGGCAGCCCCCCATGTGAAGGGCCCTCACAGCCGTACCGAAACCGGAAACCCCGCTGCGGAGGCAAAGAGAGGGTCAGCCAAGGGGGGCCAAAACCTGATGCCATGAGAGCAGGGGGTGACAGTTACACCCTGGGTGACATCCTTACCTGCTTTGGCTGCTCAATAATGACGAGGTAGGGACCTTCTACTGGAGAACAGAAAGGAGATGTACCGATGAGAAACATGGGATAACCAAAGTGCATGTTTCCCGCAAGGATGCTGGAGGTATGGGGACAGTACTGAAAGCAAGGTGACCCCTGTCTGTCCCATGAGGGTACTGAAGGCCCCCAGCCCCTCTGCTGTCATAGCGCAGCTGGGAGCAGCAGTCAGAGCAGCAGGGAGAGGAGGAGAAGGCCAGAGGATGCCCTGTCACATGGGGAGCAGGGGCCACGGGGAGGTCACAGCTTAAGCTGGTAGTCCCTGGTAGACTGAGCAGCAGGGCCCATCCTGGTGGCACGGGACAGGGATTCCCAGCCAGCTCACAGTGGGGCCAGTAAGGATACAGCCTGTGGTGCTGCTGGGAACTAAGAGGTGTGAGTCAGCCTGCTGGGAAAACCCATTGCAGCTGGGGACCCCTGGAAGGGCACAGCCAGAGGGGCCCTTACCCGTCTCAATCAGGGGCTCCTTCTGCTCCATCATGTGGGAACCAAAACTGAAGTCATCGTAGACAATCCCATCCAGGCACTGGGTGATGGGAGGGAAGATTCAGTGTGATGAGTGTGTTGGGGCTGGAATCCCCAGCTCCTCTGGAGAGTTGGCACAGACCCCCATCTCCCACCTTGGGCAGGTGATGGCAGTCTGGCACAGACCCCCATCAGGGCAGGAACAGATCCCCTGTCCCTCTCTGGGAAGAGGGGCGGGCAGGAGCAGACCCCTCATTGCCCATCCCTGGGGGCACCAGCAGATCCCCTTTACCCACCCTGGAGGCTGACACAGACCTCCCGTCTCCTACCCCAGAGGCAGGCACAGACCCTTCCACCCCCCACCCCAGAGGCAGGCACAGATCCCCACCTCCCACCCCACCCGTGGGGTCGGGCACTGCTCCCTGCCCAGCTACGGGACCGGGACCAGGCAGCGACACCCCCCTGGGCCGACCCGATCCGATCCGTGCCGCACTCACGGGCTGGAACTGCTCGTCCATGTCGGCGCGGGCCCGGCCGCCGGCCTGCGGGGAGAGGGGGGTTGAGCGGGTACCGGGGCTGCAGGAAGGCACCGCCGCTCCGGAAAGTCCCTAGAAACCCCGCCGAGCCGGGAAATGACGGGCCCGCGCGTCACCGCCCCGCCCCGCCGCGGCCGGGACACGGGGCACGGCCCGGGCACGGGGCACAGGGCAGGGGACACGGGGCTCGGCCGGGGCTCGGCGCGGCCCTGCACGGCCCTGCACGGCTCGGAACGCGGCCGCTCCTGCGCCCGCCGGCGGCCGCCCGGGGCAGTGGGACGAGCCGTCCCCTCGCCGCCTGGGGATTTTGGACTCGGAGCCCCGGGCGGGCTGGAAAATCCCGGAGCACGCCCGCCCGCCTCCCCCGGCCATCCTCGCCCGGGCGCTCCCTTGCAGCCCCGGAGCGCCACATGTCCCGAGTTTTCCCCCGGGAGCACGGAGGGATTTGGCCCTGCCGTCCCCGGCCGCCTGCCCCGCTACAGGCGCCGGTCCCCGCCGCGCAGCCATCGGCCCTTCCCTGGCAAGACTTGCAGTACAACACGGCTGAAACCACTCGCCCGCACCACAAAGCTCGGCAACAGCTCCTGGGTCCCCCAAGGTCCCAACACCACAACATCCCACCCCGATGATGTGCCTCCGGCCCAGGGATGTCTCCTCCAAGACCCTCTGAACTCAAACAGGAGCAGCCGTCCCAAAGCGCTGCCCCCAAGCTTGCTGGTCTCCCCCTGGCCAGGGGAAGCTCTCCAGAACTCTGCAGACCGAAGCCAACACATGGCAGTCCCCTTCCAGGCACTCAAAGGGGTGCTTTCCCTCTCCCCCAGTTTCCACTTACACGGCAGCTCCTGCATCCATCCCGCGGAGGTGGCCTGTGAGAGGCATTCGCTATCCGTGTTCCCATTCCCTCCTTCCCGCTTGGGAACATCTGCCTTCAAAGTGGAAGTGGCAGCCCCAGAGCTCCCTGTGGGAGCATATCCCACCGCCCCAGCACTCAGCACTGCATGCTCCCCACCGACCCCAAGGCACTGCCAGCAGCAGGGGCCCTTCCTTGCCGCCCACGACGCTTGCACCCTCCTACTCACCGGGGAGGAAGAGGCTGGTCTCAACAACCCGTCCAGCCCCAGCATCGCCACAGGGACTGCGAGTATCACAGACAGGGGTTCCACTGGTGTCAAGGTCTGCCTGACCACGGAAAACCACCGGTGACTTCTAGCAAAGAGGCAGGATCAGAGCAGAGCCTCCGAGCACGCTCTCTTGCTCCACATTTCTTCTCACTAACCAATGAAAAGAAGAAAAAAGGCAAAAAAGCCCCTGTATCTGACTCCACGGTGCCCTCATACCATGAATTTCTGAATCAGTGGTTGCTGCAGGTCCCGCTCAGGGGATTTTGGGTGTGTGGGAGAAGAGGGGAAGGAAGGGGATTGTTCAACTCGTGCGTGACTCATATTCTTCAGAAGCTGAACAGAATCTTTTCAAGATTTTTCAGCCACTCAAGTCCTCCAAAGGGGCTGTCCCATGACCCCAGGCCTGAGGTTTCCCCTGGCTGGCCTGCCACCTGAGCCCTGGTGAGCTCCTGCAGCCCCTGCCCTGCCAGCCCGTGGGATGCATCCCAGACAGCAATGCAGCCTGGGACATGGAGTCTGAGGACCTGCAGGTGCAGCAGAGGGTGCAAGGAGGGAGAAGGTAGAGATCTAGCACTGCAAAATGAGGCGGGACCTTCCTCCTGCCATTCTGCAGGAGCTTCAAAAGGCCTAGGAACATGGACACAACCCCCCATTGGCCTGTGGGAAGCAGCACACCCTCCCTGCTGTTGGGATCCCACCCGTCATACCGCCTGGGCAGCTTCAGCCTGCCACCACCAGCCAGCCACCCCATCTGCTGGCACAGATTTTACAGAGAGGTGAAGAAAGGGACAAACATCCTTCCTCAGTGTGCTGGGAACAGCCACCTCAAACTCTACCTGCTGAGCCCAGCTGGGGGAACCCAGGCCTGAAGATGCTGGATAAGAACAAATTGTGCCCTTTGGATAGCACAGCTCCCCTTCTCCAGTGCCATCAGCCTCATCCCCTCTTGAGGGGTTTTCACAGCACACTCATTGCTGCCCAGGATACTTCCACTTGTTGCAGCAGACAGCATGACTGGGATGTCACAGAGTTGTGCCTGCATCTCCCCAGCCTGCACAGCTCTGGCTCTCTCGGGAGGTTGCTGGCCATATCCCTGCACAGTGTGTGCTGGAGGAAGCCCACCTTGCAGCAGAGATGATGTCATCACCTGCTTCTTTGTTCCTGGAAAAGCAACCTCAGACCTACTCTCAAGGTAAGTCCTGCCTTCTGTGCCAAGCAGCCATGCCAGGACTCGGGGTTTCCCCTAGGAATGTAACACACCCAGCTTTTATCCCCCACACATCCCAGAAGGGAACCCATCTCTCCTTCCTCCATCAGTAGCATCCCCTGGTCTGTGTTACCCAGCACATCTGAGCTGGAGCATGATCTTGAACTGCAGCCTCCATTTGCTAATTCCTCCCCATCTTCACACCTTCCTAGGGCTCAGGAAGGATTCTCTGGGCATTGCTGGGAATGGGGGAAAAGAGCAGCAACCCAGACGCAAGGCACTGCTCGGCACTGCGAGGCACAGCACCAGTGCCTGGCCCCGGAGCACAGCAGTGCCACAGCACCCTTGCCAGACGGCACAGCCTCCCTTGTGCCAGCCAGACTGCTTCAATTAAGGGCCAGCTGCTGGCAAGCAGCATGAGTTAAAGCCATTCTTCCATGCCTGCAGCTCCTTGAACGTGACCTAGTAACGCAGGTGCTATTTTCTTTCCTCCCATGACAGTCGGCTGACTCGCAGAGCTGATGCCCCGCAGGCAGGAGGGAAATATACGTCAGTCTATCTGAGGCGAGAGTGTTTAGTAGCCATGGGAAAGAGTGCTCCAGAAATGCAGGAGGCAGCACGAGTGCAGCCCTGCTCCAAACTGCCCTAGTGTACAGCTGACATGTTCCAGCCACCCAGCTGGCTGCTCCTCTAACATACGATTCCCTGTGCATTTTGTTTCCCTTGGGGTCTGCTAACACCTGAAAAAGATGGCCCTAAATACCTGGCCTTGCTTTCTGCACAAATCCTGTGCTCTGCTCCATCCTAGGTGTCCCAAAAGCTACTGGCAAGGGGCTGGCAGGAGGCTGCTGAGTCTCTCCTACTGTTTACAAGGACTTTGCTCTGAGACCCTTCCTGGAAATGAGGTCCTTAATGTGCAAGCACAGCAGAGAGAAATCCCCTCTCCCTGAAAGCTGTCCAAGCCTTCTCCTCCCAACAGCCTGCCTTCGAGCACTGAAGCCATTTGTATCTCTCTGCATAAAACGCCTTTCCTCTCTTTGTGGCTATCAAGTTGGTTTTGGCAAACCCCAGCCACCCACTGATCTTCTGGTTTTCTCCTCTAGGGCCTGTAAATCAGCTCCTTTGCTGTTGTGTTACGAACCATTGCTCCAGTTGTACATCTGTGTGCCCTCAGAGAACCCCTCTCAGTGACAACCCAGCGTTTGCCATCTCTCACTCTCTCTGGTTTCCACTCTACCCACAATACCACTACCGTGTTGGCATTCACGTCTCCATTTGGGGTAGATCTTGCTGAGCCTGCGGGCGTGGATCTCTTCCCCTCGGAGCAGGCAGGAAGCCAGCCCTGCTCCAGCGCAAGCAAGGCTCAACATGCAAGAGAGAGAGCAGCGGGATAGGGCAGAACTCACTGGCAACACAGAAACAGGAAAATAAGCAACTTCCCCACCGCCAGGGAAACGGGTGTAAGCGCCAGCGCTGGGACCTGCTGCCTCCTCCCCACTCCAAGAGAGCAGCTGTCTCTCCATCCTGAATCTTCCCAACTTCCCCTACCCCAGCGAGCCCCATGGTCGGTCCAGAGGAAGCCAGGGACCGGCGTGGCTGCCGGGGCGAGAAGGAGACCCAGGAGCGGCCGAGGGCCCTTCTGCAAGGACGGGCAGCCCTGGCAAGGGAACTTTAAACCTCTGGACCGCTCAGTTCCCTTTTCCTGGGAACCCTTCTCCCGCTAGCGCAGGCAGCCCTGCCCGCTGCCGCTCGGGCGCATCCCCCCGGCACCTCCAGATACCCCCACTCCGGCCCGGCCGCTTACCTTCATCCCAGCCCCAGCCCAGCCGTCGCGCCCCGGCCGCGGTACCGGGAAAGTCCCGTCCTGACTCCGCCTCCCGGGGCTTCCCGGTCCCGGCTCCGCCCGGCGGGACAGCGGCAGGGCGGGCCGGGGGACCCCCGAGGGGACAGGCAGCTCCAGGCTGTTGCATCCCGTCGAAACCGCCCGTCCCTCTCGGGTCAGGGCACCGAGCACCGGGCTCACGGCTGTCCCCCGAGACCCGCAGGGCCACTCACCCCGTTCCCAAAGCCAGCTGCTACCGCGGCGTGGAAGGACCATCTGCCTCGCCCATGGCTGATTTTCACTTTTATTATTGTAAATTCACTGTTGTCTTTATATATTTTTTTAAAAAATATATTAGATATAAAAGTCAGAAATGCTCCTCTTTGAACTACATATACTGGTGGATTTACAGGCCGGTTTGGAAAGGTGGGCAAATAGGCAAGCCCAACCTGATCAATGCGCACAGCAGCAGCAGCAAATGCCCCTCTCCAGGGACAAGGGAAAATTTATATATATATATATATGGGTATATATATATATATATATATATATACATGTTTTTAGATCTATATACACACACCACACACACACACAGAGCACTCATACCCCTCAACACCCCACCCCCCTGCCCAGGACACCCCAGGCTGCAGCCTGAGGATGCTGGGACTGAGCAGGATGGGCTCCCACCAGGCAGGTGCTGGCCAAGGCACCAGCGGACGGATTTGGGAGTCCCAGCAGAACAGGGCATGTGTTTATCTGTTCCTACAGAAGTGCCTCCCCTTTCTATGCCTGTGCTCCCTGGGTGGGAGAGCTGGTGGCCGCCCACCCCGGACTGGGACACTCCCTCACGGGACAGCTTCGGTTTGCAGCGGTACAGGGGGGCAAATCTGCTGCTCTGCAGGCACAGTGTCTTGGTATGATGGTAAATTCAGACTCACTTCCCAAATTAGCTGGGAGCACGGGAATGCCATGACCCAGGAGGTGAAACCTGCCTCAGCAATTCTCAAAGCTGAAAAAAATGACAGAAAAGTCATCAACTGAAGGCAAGGAAGGCCCTGAGCAGCAAGAGCTCGAGGGGCCAGCAAGGCCAGCTAGGGCTGCTGGTGTCATCCTGTGGCAGTGTGAGGCACTGCCTCCACCCAGGAAGCCAGGCAGGGAGAGACCCCCTGCTGCCGTTCTCACTGGGGGTGCAGACAGACCGGCACTGCCATAACTTCCCAAGGAAGGGAAAAGGCACTCTGGGTTTTTGGCTCCTCTGACAGTCATACTTGGCAGGCTTGCTCTGCTGAACCTTCCCTGTGGAGGAGGGAAGAACAGAGATCTCCCTCCCTCCCAGCATACCAGGCTTGTGTGGTGAGGGAAGAGTGAGCCCCCTGTTCCTGCACATCGCTTACAGAAGGGGGCCTCTGTATGATTGCCTGCAGCAGCCCCTGACTCAGACAAGGCTACCCCAGAGGCTCCAGGGCAGATCCTGGCTCTGTTAATAGCACCAGGTTGGCATCCCTGCACCCCAACAGTGCCCCCAAATCCTGTGGGCAGAGAGGGAGCAGCTCCTGCAGGGGCACCAGCTACCAGAGGAGTCCTGGACACAGCTCCTGCCAAGAGTGGAGGGCACCGCATGCCCACACATACACACACACACACACACACACACACAGAAGCACCCCAAGGCAGCTGGGGTCTCAGAGACATTCAAGGTGGGGAGTTACTGTCAGAGCCCAGTTTGGGAGTCTCCACTGTGAGCTGCCTCCTGTGGGGGTCAGGCCATAGCCAAGCCCTCCACGTGGCTGTGGATGTGGGCCGTGCTGGACACGCTGCTCTCGTCTTTGTAGCTTTTGGGAGCCCGGCTGGCTTTCAGCAGGACCAGGAAGGTGTCTGTGGAGATGGCCCCAAACTCAAAGGTGAATGTGCCGTAGAAGACCAGGACATCGATGATGAACATCCACTCACACAGTGCAGCCACGTGCTGCAGCACAAAGCTCTCCTGGATGAAGAACACACCGCCTGAGGGTATCTCAGTCAAGGAAAGCACAGATGGACACCAACCACCTCATGGAGGACCATGTCCCACTGCCACCGCATGCTGGGGTGGCCGTGAGTACCCACCCTTGCAGGAAATGCACCGCCACTCCTAAAACCCAGAAACCCAGCAGCACAAGGGCCCTAGCACGGGTGAGGCGGTGGCACACATGCCCAAACTAGCCTCAGTAAATCATGGGACTGATGCCAGGCTGGGATTTTCTGAAAAGGCCAAGGCAGGAGGAACTCAGGCTGCACTTCTCAGTGCAAGCCAGGTGCCCAGATGCCTCACCCTCCCCACACCCCTTGTCTCTTCCTCAAGCCAGGCTGACACTCCCCATCCTCCTGCAGGATGCCATCAAAGATGATCAGCACTCCATGCCCTAGGTAATGGGGTTTGGGCTGCTCATCCCAGCCCTGCAGCACCTCCTGTCCCTCTGTGCTGCAGGCTGGCCCATGCCAGGGAAGGGGCCTGCTCCTGCTTCTCCACGTCCTACTGCTGCCAGAGTTTCTTTATCCTTCTCTCATCCTCACCAAGGATCTCTAGGGAAATTTACTGCCAGAGCCACTGTGGGTTAGGGGAGAAGGCATCCCCCAACCCTCCAGGTGAAGCCTCCAGCAGTATGGTGCCTTCTGCCAGTGCGACCAAGATCTGTGAGAGCTGCAGAGGCAGGGACCTGACCTGTACAGTGTAGAGCCCTCTGCTCACTCCCCCCATCCCATCAGGAGAGATCCCAGCCCTTTCCCCACACTGTCCACACCACAGCTCACTGCTTTTCCACTGCTAGTCCCCAGTCCTTACAGAGCAGGATGGCCACAGCAGATGGGCACCAATCCTGTCTCCCTTGTCCTTACGTGCCCTTCCTGTCCCTCCCAGCTGGCATGGCCCTGCGGCACTCCTACCCTTCCCAGCTCCCTGCCTGATTCCCAGCCTGCCTGCCTGCTGCTGTGACAGAGCGGGACTCTCTGATATGTGCCAGGCCTGCCAGCACCCCCCAGTCTCCTCTTTGTGCTGCTCACCTCAGCCAGACCCCAGCCAGCCTCTTTGGGACCCACGGACACTGGATGTTTTTTCCCCTTCCTGCCCAATAACCACCACCTTGTTTCCCAATTTATCCCCACCCTCAGTCCCAAACAAGCTCCTGGCTCCTTGGCTACACACTCAGGACCATTCTTCGAGCCCCAGTTCACCTGACACCGTGCCCTCCCTCCCTGCTATGGTGTTTGCAAACCCCAGTGCCTGCTCACCAAGCCCTGCCTCATCCTCATGGGCAGGTTGGCTTATGGGTGCCAGAGAGCCCTGTCTGGCAGAGGTGTTGCCATGCGCCCACCCAGCACCTGCACAGAGCACTTTTGTATTCAGCTTTGGTCATACAGGTAACCCAGACACTTTGCTCAACATACCTTTGTCTCATGAAAAAACCCCATCAGTTAACCAGCCCTGGCTTATGTGGAACTGGAGCCTGCAGTGGTGGCTGGGCTGCAGCAGCCAGGGCAGGGCTGGTTTGGGGCATCCCAGCACCCCAAGAAATGCCCACCAGCATCCCTTCCCCTCCTCAGCCCCTTCCCAGCCCTGAGACTGCTGCTCATCCAGCCTATACCTGCAGAGAGCTACCCACCCTCAGTCCCCTGCCCAGCCCCTCTCCTGGCACCATGCCTCACTGCCAGAGAAAAGGATGGAGAACACGGGGTGCATAACCCACCATGAGAAACACCTTTCACCAGCCCATCCCCAAACTTCTTCCCACACCTTCAGGATACTGAAGACGAGGGTGACAAAGGCCACAGTGGTGAGGATGCTTCGTAAGTGGCCAGTCCAGTACTGCCCTCGGGTTTTGGCCATGCGGTACGTGAGGATGGACTGCAGGAGCAGGAACAGCATGCTGGTGGGAAAGGCCACCCCTGCCCCAATGTAGTGCAGCACCTTGGCATGATCCACCTGTGGGGAAGAGACCATCAGTGCCGGCACCCTGGGACACTCCCTGGCACAGCACGGCTCTGCTCCAGGGGTTGGGCTCCTGCCCAGGTAGGGGTGCAGGCAGTGCCAGGAGCAAGTCCAGGCGGCTCAACCTGTGCCTGACTCCTGGCTGAAGAGCAGATTTGTACCCAGTATCTGCTGCTGGGATCTCAAAGCACTTTGTTTCTTTCATCTGTGGGCCAGCAGCCCTGCTGTGCCCAGGGGCAGGGGCTGCCCTCTGCCCTGAGAGGCATCTGGGGCCACCTGCACTGCCCCCCGCGAGGGTCACAGCCCAGTGCTGCTGAGCCACAGCTGGGGCACGAGGGGGATCGGGGCCAGCAAGCCTCTCCTGTGGCTGGCACCGGCAGCAGCCTCCTGCCAAGCAGGAGGGACTGGCTGCCGCAGGCAGCGGGCAGGCAGCTGCCGGGAGGCCGGTGCCTGGCAGCGCAGGCAGAGGCTGAGTGCTGCTGTGTGCTGCCAAGCCTGGGCTCACTTTGGTCATTGCCAGCACAGACTCTGTCCCGACAGTTACCTGGCATCACCCCTGAACAGGAGCATCAGCAGCTTGGCACGGTCCTCAGCCCGACTGGCATGTCCCTGGCCCTGCACGTGCCCATGGAGGGGACAGACCTTGCAGAGGGTCTCAGGTAAGGGTTAAACCAAACCCAGCAGCTTAATCTGGACCTGAACTATGAACACACTAGCAAAGAGGACTCCCAGCACTCTGGGAAGCACAGCGCTAACCCAGCAGAGCGGAAGGATTGCACAGACAGAAACCACCACCAAACCACCCCAAACCCTACCCTGCTGAGCACTGC